GATACTCGCAGCGATCATTCCCCATCAACCGATTTCCTATTCAAGATAATTGTTATTTTTAGCAGTTAGGGCTCTTGCAACTTATGCTCTTCATTGTGCTTGACTATGTTTAAAAATTGGATTTCAATTTTCAGATTACTCAAGTGGTATGGTGCATGAAATCATCGAGTCTTAAAGCTTAATATCACAAAGTTTTTTCTGTGATGTTAATTTTGTTTTCGACTCGATGAGCGCTGATTGAAAGTCACCAGTTCTGTAGTTTGTTTAATGCTAACACTTTTAGTTTTTGAGGGTAATTGATTTTGACTAATGGCAGATCTTGTTAGTCACCTTATACTTGTTCAATGAAAAGCAAGAATATGTTTTTATGGTTTTGCTATTCAAGAGTGATGGTTCATGAAAATATCGAGTTTCAAACACTAATGTCACAAAACGTTTTGTGACAATAATTTTGTTTTGCGCCTCGATAAGCAAGGATCCTAGTGTTTTCTGCTTAGTTCACGCTCGGTAATTGATTTTGAATCCTTATCTAACGCTTGTTTTGTGTTTCTCGACTTGTTGTCTTCATTTTGAGCTACCTTTAGTTTTTTAATTTGTTTTTCACACCAGAGAGCTAGGAGCGTAGTGTAAAAGCAAGAAGGTTTTTTCCCACCTAATCATTTACATCTAATCATTCATCCATTCGTTCAGCTCTCCATCCAAAGCCAATCATCCATCTATTTTGCCGTTCATTTATTTAGTCAGCCATGCATTCGTAGAGCCATCGATACTCGCAGCGATCATTCCCCATCAACCGATTTCCTATTCAAGATAATTGTTATTTTTAGCAGTTAGGGCTCTTGCAACTTATGCTCTTCATTGTGCTTGACTATGTTTAAAAATTGGATTTCAATTTTCAGATTACTCAGCGCAAAAAAAATAAGTCACCCGTTTAGACAGTTTTCGTGCGATGGATTAGGGTTAGAGTCTCGGTCGAATTTTCTCAATTTCTTTAAACTTATTTTTCTAGAAAAACTTGAATCTTCTGAATTTAGTTTTTTCTTTTTTTCTTTATTTTTTGAAGCCTTCTTTCAAATGCGTTATTTTTTTGAGAAAAGGCAATGCTTTTTATAAATGAAAGTTGTTCTGTTACTCGTTTACCTCCAATTGTTCTGTTCTTTATTTCATTGAAATTTTATTGATTTTTGTAAGATCGGTTAAGTCACTTTGTACTCGTTCATTAAAAAGCGAGAATAAACTCTTATATTTTTGTGTGTTCAAGTGGCATGGTGCATGAAATCATCGAGTCTTAAAGCTTAATAGCACAAAATTTTTTCTGTGATGTCAATTTTGTTTTGGGCTTGATGATTGCTGATTGAAGTATTATTTTGTGCCAACTTCACGCTAGCCAAATGGTTTTAAATGCTTAATTTTAGTTTTTTTTGTGATTTTGACATGTTTTTCTCAGTTTGAGCTTCATTTGTGACAAACCTGCAAATTTTTGATAGATGTGTTTTTCTGATTTTTTGTTGATATTTAATTTTCGACTTTCGTTGAACACCAGCGAACTAGCGATCGTAGCTGAAAAGTCTGGCTCAACTTTTGTTGCCAGCCAAAGTTCCCAATGAAAGAGCTCATTTGGTGCACCTTTGCTATTATCACCATCTGCAGCATTGAAGTTTCATACCATCTGTTCTCTGCGTTATTGGTGGCTATTCTTTGCCGATCGGCAAGCGATCGTCTTTGCCGACCATCCATCCATCCTGCAATCCGTCCCTGCAACGTCACGTCGAGTTCAAACAGCCATCGCCTATGCCATCCTTCCATCTAGCCATCTATAGAGCCATCAATCCTTCGATCCATTCAACCAATCTGTCTTTCATTCATCTAGCCAGCTATCCATCCTGTCATCAATTCAGCGAGCCATCCGTTCAACCTGTCATTCATCAAACCATCCATGCATTCGACCAGTCGTCTAGACAGCCATCCATGCTTCCATTCATCTATCTTGTCAGACATCTAGCGATCCACTTGTTTCAAACAGCCATCCCTACATCTAGCCATCCATCTGCCGATTCAGTCATCTATTCAGCCACCTCTCTATCTAATCGGCCATCCAACCGTTCGCAGTAGTAAATCATCCGTTCATTCAGCCCTCCATCCAATCAGCCAGTCACCCATGCATCTAGCCGTTCTTTCATTTACCCGGCCATTCATTTATAGAGCCATCGCTGCATACAGCTATCCGTCCATACATCAACCAATTTTCTGATAAATTGAAATGTGTTAAATTTCTAGAAGCAGCTTTAGCTATTAGGGTCTGCTATTTTCTTTGAAAAATCAATTCCTTTTCCTTTGCTGAAAAAAGAGCAAATTACGCTCTGCAATGTTCTTGACTGTGCTCGAAAATTGTAATTCAATTTTCACATTACCCGGCGCCACGAAAAAAGTCGCCTTCTCACTAAGTTCTCTGGGGTGGTCTAGGGTTCGAGTCACGATAGGTTTTTCTCGATATCTATGGAATGTTTTTTTAAGGAAAATTTGAATGGTCGGACTATCGATTTTTTTTTACCTTAAGTCGGCTTTCTTTCAAAAGCATGAATTGATTTGATTAATGCAATGGTTTTTATAAATGCAACTTGTTCTGTAGTTTTTTTAACGCTAACACTTCTAGTTTTTGAGGGAAATTGATTTTGACTTATGGTAGATCTTGTTAGTCACCTTGTAGTTGTTCAATGAAAAGTAAGAATATGTTTTTATTTTTTTGCTATTCAAGAGGGATGGTTCATGAAAATATCGAGTTTCAAACACTAATGTCACAAAACGTTTTGTGACAATAATTTTGTTTTGCGCCTCGATAAGCAAGGATCCTAGTGTTTTCTGCTTAGTTCTTGCTCGGTAAATGATTTTGAATCCTTATCTAACGCTTGTTTTGTGTTTCTCGACTTGTTGTCTTCGTTTTGAGCTACCTTTAATTTTTTAATTTGTTTTTTACACCAGAGAGCTAGGAGCGTAGTGTAAAAGCAAGAGTGTTTTTTCCCAACCAAAATCCCGAATAAAAGTGCTCATTTTGCTGCATCTGTAGCATTGGAATTTTCATAGCATCTGTTCTCTGCTTTACTGATTTTTTTTACCGATCGTCAGGCGACTGTGGCGCAGAGTGAAGGAAGTGAAACTCCAATTCTACTGGTGCAACGTTGAATACCATTGTAGGTTTTTATGAATTTTTTAAATATTTTACTGCATAGCTGTGGCAATTTACTAGCATCTATAGTTGCTTTTTTTGTGAGTAGTACTTGCAATCTTTCAATGGCCCCTGGCGCAGATGCGAGGATGTAAGACTCCTAATCCCGAGGTTGGAGGTTCGAATCTGACACAGTTCAGAAGTTGTTTTATTCGAGCCTTATCTCTTACCTTTCCTGATTTTTTTAAAGAGCTGCTTTTTGTCGTTTTCTTGCTTGTAATTGCGAAGTGCATCTTCACCTCTGTGTTCAAGTTTTTTTTACATGTCTTTTTTTTTATTCGCCGGCTCTCGATGCCATTTTTGGTGTTGTATTGCTAATGATTCGACGCTCCACTTGCCTCTGTGTTACAAATTGGATTGTTTTTTTTTTAAAGTCAATCATAAAAATGTCTAATTCAAAGAGCGTTATATACTTCTGTTGTTACCACTTCACGAAGTGAAGGGTTGATTCTATGGGCAAAGGGTTTGTTCGTTTTTGCCCTAGAAGAAAGTTTACATATCAAAGAAAGTTTGTTTGGGGTCAAATGTGGTATCATGTTAAAGCCCTATTAGCCGTGATTCGGATTTAAAGTATGTGTTCGAAGTGCTCTCAGTGTCGAGGAAAAGTGGTCGGAATTTTTCGTTTTTCAGACTAATTGAAACGATGTTTACAAATAACACGAGCAACTGAAGTCCCAAGTTGATTCTACTCCGGTTTTACATTAATTTAGCTGCTATAATCTCTTATTTTTGCAGCTTTTCGCCTAAAGTGGTTGGGAAGGAACCATGATGTAGAGAGTTTTTTCTTAATGGTTTAGACGACCTCAAATATGTTCGCGGAGATTCATAAAAGCCAATTCAGCCGTATTTTCTTAAAAATTTTATCAGTGTTAAGCAAAGTTGGTCTGAGTTTTGACTCACAGATATGGGAAAACTCGTCCATATTTATTTCTTGGCCTCTTGACTTCATTGAAAATTCCAGTTGTCTGTCGGTTATGTTTGTGTTTTTAGACGCACGCTGCAAAGTATAAACATAACTTATATGTTTACCAAAGCGAGATCTACCTCATTTTTACCCTGAATACGCTACTGGTAGGATCTCTAAGCCACCTTCATTGTCGTTTTAATGAGCTTGAGTGTAGTGTCACAAGCGGAGATTAGTTCCATACTACGAATTAAACTTTTTTCAACCCGAGTCCCAAATGAAAGTGCTCATTTATCTGGTGGCACTTAGCAGCAATAGCATCACTTCTGGTTTATTTTTGCTGATTTAGCATTATACCTGGTAAACTTTATTGCGTAGCATTAAGGACTTTTTTTTACCTTCCCTCCACCTCACAGAAGCATCAATTTTATGTTGTAACAAAGTGTTATACACGGTTACCCACGGAGACCCAATATTTTTGGCCTAATCAGTCAGCATGTCAATTTCTGTAACAATTGACAGTGCGAACAAACAATCACAAGTAAAAAATCACAGGTGGTGGAAATGGCAAAAGAACCGAATTTTATCTTTGTATCTGGGTTATTGGTGGCTAGTGTTCAATAGAGATCATGCGCGCATGGAGCAGATACTAGGCCCTTATAATGTTGATTTCGAGGTAGGGGGTTCGATTCCGCCACATACCGAATTTTTATTACTTTTAGCTTTAGTTTTCCTTTTTTTCTCACTTTTTGATCCTTTTAGGCTAGTTTTTTTCTATTTCCTCGTTTGTGCTAGCAGCTCCGCATCCGTGTAGAAGCGATGTGTCTTTGTGGGTTCATTGATTCATTCAGTATATTAAAATAGAATTTGCAGGTGTGAACCTTCTCTCGAGATACCAAAAACGACGAAAGAGCAGAAAGAGAAAAAATCTTCATGCCGAAAAATTTGGAGCTTTATCCATAAATCAATCTCCTATGCTCAACATTCCAATTCAAAAGTTGAATTGATCAATCACTTTCCTCTTGAAAGACGGTAAACATCCAATCTCAAAAAGTCCTCATCTAAGCCAATCATACTAACAGTAAATCCTGCATGTTGCATTTTGCTATTGCTAGTTTTTATGCGTCAGGTTAAAAGGTTTCAGCCTCTCGACGCATGATTTTTTTTGTGTCTGGGTTGGTGTTCTGGTTGAGGGTGTTTTTCTGTGGAGCTAACGATATACTGGGTTTGGGGCCGTGTTCAACGTAGTGTTTAGTTGTAACGAATTAATAAAAGCAGCAAATTATCAGGCAGGTGTTGCGGTTACATTTTTGATGATATTTTTGGTTTTAACTTAAAAGAGGTCAATCTTTTTTAAATTTGTAGTCGTTCACAACAATAAAACGGGATGAGCTTTCGTTTGTTTTTACCACATAAACTCAGTTGCTACAAAAAAGGTTGTACAACTGCCCCATGTGTACAGATTTACAAAAAAAAATGGCATTGATTTGTTAATATTCGATGAACGTAGTGAAGACTCCTAAATAGGTCTTAGAGATTTTTTTCACTTTCTCACGCTCAATTTTGCGGTTTGAGTTTTTTTAGCGGTCTGACTTTTTTCATGAAGCTTAGTTCATTTCCTTTGTTGAAAGGAAGTCAAACTCCAGAATACAAATGCATCTTCGCTTCTTTGTAGAAAGTGTAAAATATGCTGGCTGTTTTTTAAGTATACATTGGTTTCGCGCTAAGTAGCCAAGCAACCAAGCTCAAATAATCCAGACCTTTAACGGCTAGGAAAAACATAATGATCCCTCCCTTTTATAAAGATCGCCCATAATGTCAACAAAAACAATCTGTGTATGTATACGCTTGAGATTAGCAACCGTTATAAAAATTGTTTTGCCCCATTCGTTTTTAAGAGTCGATGAACTTAGTTCAGTCTCTTATATAGGTCGTTATGATTTTGAAAGTCTTAAAATTTGTTCAAGCTAAAGTTTGATTTTTTGCTGTTTGACTTTGATTTCTTTTTAAATTCAGTTAATATCTTTTGCTAAAAGAAAGGCAAACTACACTACCGAACAGCAAAACTGTAAAAATCATCAAAAACTTGATCGACTTTAGTTCGAAAATGGAATTTAATTATCAGATTTCCCAGTGAACCTTTTTGTCCAGTTTTCTCAATTTAGGTTAGTTTCTACAAAATAATTTCAACCGTTTCTTACATCTCTATTAGCGAAGTGATGTCATATAGTCTTGAAACGTATCAGTGAACTGACTGATGTCGCTGTTTCCAAGTTACCAGAATATGCCTCTTGCTTCAAGTTATCTTCGATTAATACGGTCGATGAGTTTATTGCTATCAAAGGCTTAACAATGAAAGAAGTCTGACGAGACTCTTCAAAGCCGGAGAATTGGATTGTTGGCCGACAATTGCGTGTCTGTGTGAATTTACGCTTTTTGTCTGTCCTCAAAATATGAACACTGAGTCTGGCTTCTCAACGAAGAAATCCGCTGAAACGTTGTGGCAAAGCAATTCATGTTTGGAAACCTGCAATTCCATTCGTGTAGTACAGGAAGTACTCGACCGTTCTAATTGCGAACAACAAACGTTTCCGCAACACCTGCACGATCTCCTAAAAACAGCTGCTTCTTCTTACTAGGAAAATGTGTCACAAAACCCAGCGATGAACGGGAGAAAACGGGAACATGCTGAGAAACTCCGAGAGGAGCTCCACGTCTTCAAAAGGCGCACTCCGAAGCAGTTTAATGCGAAGATAGGCAAGACAGAGAAAGATATCGCTTTTTTGGAGGCGCAGCTCGACTAGGTTTAAAAAAATCCAACTACTTGAAGAAAATGCCGTTCAGACTCTCCTTAAAGACGTCCAGTCTTCTGCCATAACTGATAGTTTTTTTGACCGACCTTATTTTTGATTAAACGAACTTAAACAATTCCTGTTTTTTATCTTAAGGTTTTCCTAGAACAATTGTGACCGTCCCTTTTTGTTCTTTTTTTTGATGCGTCGGGACCTAGTTTTTTACCTTAAGGTTTTCCTAGAACAATTGTGACCGTCCCTTTTTGTTCTTTTTTCTTTTTGTTCTTAGTGCGTCTCCACTAGGTCCCGTTTGTTCCGTTGAGTCACAGCGTTGGCCACCCTGTTTAAAGCCATCTATTTTTTTCTTCGAAATTCACTAGGTCCCGTTGAGTCACTGCGTTGGTCACCCTGTTTAAAGCCATCTATTTTTTCTTCGAAATTCACTAGGTCCCGTTGAGTCTCTGCGTTGGTCACCCTGTTTAAAGCCATCTATTTTTTTCTTCGAAATTCACTAGGTCCCGTTGAGTCACTGCGTTGGTCACTCTGTTTCAAGCCATCTATTTTTTCTTCGAAATTCACTAGGTCCCGTTGAGTCTCTGCGTTGGTCACCCTGTTTAAAGCCATCTATTTTTTTCTTCGAAATTCACTAGGTCCCGTTGAGTCACTGCGTTGGTCACTCTGTTTCAAGCCATCTATTTTTTCTTCGAAATTCACTAGGTCCCGTTGAGTCACTGCGTTGGTCACCCTGTTTAAAGCCATCTATTTTTTTCTTCGAAATTCACTAGGTCCCATTGAGTCACTGCGTTGGTCACCGTTTAAAGCCATCTATTTTTTTCTTCGAAATTCACTAGGTCCCGTTGAGTCACTGCGTTGGTCACCCTGTTTAAAGCCATCTATTTTTTCTTCGAAATTCACTAGGTCCCGTTGAGTCTCTGCGTTGGTCACCCTGTTTAAAGCCATCTATTTTTTTCTTCGAAATTCACTAGGTCCCATTGAGTCACTGCGTTGGTCACCGTTTAAAGGCATCTATTTTTTTCTTCGAAATTCACTAGGTCCCGTTGAGTCACTGCGTTGGTCACCCTGTTTAAAGCCATCCATTTTTTTCTTCGAAATTCACTACGTCCCGTTGAGTCACAGCGTTGGTCACCCTGTTTAAAGCCATCTATTTTTTTTTCTTCGAAATTCACTAGGTCCCGTTGAGTCTCTGCGTTGGTCACCCTGTTTAAAGCCATCTATTTTTTTCTTCGAAATTCACTAGGTCCCGTTGAGTCACTGCGTTGGTCACCCTGTTTAAAGCCATCTATTTTTTCTTCGAAATTCACTAGGTCCCGTTGAGTCTCTGCGTTGGTCACCCTGTTTAAAGCCATCTATTTTTTTCTTCGAAATTCACTAGGTCCCATTGAGTCACTGCGTTGGTCACCGTTTAAAGCCATCTATTTTTTTCTTCGAAATTCACTAGGTCCCGTTGAGTCACTGCGTTGGTCACCCTGTTTAAAGCCATCTATTTTTTCTTCGAAATTCACTAGGTCCCGTTGAGTCTCTGCGTTGGTCACCCTGTTTAAAGCCATCTATTTTTTTCTTCGAAATTCACTAGGTCCCATTGAGTCACTGCGTTGGTCACCGTTTAAAGCCATCTATTTTTTTCTTCGAAATTCACTAGGTCCCGTTGAGTCACTGCGTTGGTCACCCTGTTTAAAGCCATCCATTTTTTTCTTCGAAATTCACTACGTCCCGTTGAGTCACAGCGTTGGTCACCCTGTTTAAAGCCATCTATTTTTTTCTTCGAAATTCACTAGGTCCCGTTGAGTCACTGCGTTGGTCACCCTGTTTAAAGCCATCTATTTTTTTCTTCGAATTTCACTAGGTCCCGTTGAGTCACTGCGTTGGTCACCCTGTTTAAAGCCATCTATTTTTTTCTTCGAAATTCACTAGGTCCCGTTGAGTCACTGCATTGGTCACGCTGTTTAAAGCCATCTATTTTTTCTTCGAAATTCACTAGGTCCCGTTGAGTCTCTGCGTTGGTCACCCTGTTTAAAGCCATCTATTTTTTTCTTCGAAATTCACTAGGTCCCATTGAGTCACTGCGTTGGTCACCGTTTAAAGCCATCTATTTTTTTCTTCGAAATTCACTAGGTCCCGTTGAGTCACTGCGTTGGTCACCCTGTTTAAAGCCATCCATTTTTTTCTTCGAAATTCACTACGTCCCGTTGAGTCACAGCGTTGGTCACCCTGTTTAAAGCCATCTATTTTTTTCTTCGAAATTCACTAGGTCCCGTTGAGTCACAGCGTTGGTCACCCTGTTTAAAGCCATCTATTTTTTTCTTCGAAATTCACTAGGTCCCGTTGAGTCACAGCGTTGGTCACCCTGTTTAAAGCCATCTATTTTTTTCTTCGAAATTCACTAGGTCCCGTTGAGTCACTGCATTGGTCACGCTGTTTGAAGCCATCTTTTTTTCTTCGAAAATTGAAAAATGAGATTCGAAAATGACAAATTGGATTATATGAATGTTTTATTGATTGTTTTTCTCTGTAGTTTGGAAAGATGAAGTTTTTTTCCAAGTTTCGAAAATTTTGTCAGTTTTTTTTGTTTAGTTGCGTTATAACTCTTTCTTAACTGTTTGTTGGCTATGTTTAAGAATCGATACGTAATGCAGATTAAGTAGACTATATAGTCGTGATGATTTTTTTCTTCAGTAAAAGTCTTCAAGGCTCTTATAACTACAGAAGTGCTTTCAAGACTCATTAATGCGTTCGCAGTTGATCTGCCAAAAGGTAGGAGAACTGCGCTCTCCAATTACGAAAGCGTAAAGGTCTCGAAAATTGTGATTGACTTCTAATGTCGAAGGTGAACTTTTTTTCAGTTTTCACAGCGGAATAAGAATTTCACCCATTGATCCAGTTTTCTCGAATTGAGTTAATATGATCACGAAAGTGGAATTCATAAATTGTTTTTGAAGTTTTAAGAGCTTTGAGGGCATATAGTTTTATAAGGTAAAAAAACTATCAGTATTATTTTCTGTTTCCTTGCGTTCATTGACTATTTTTCAACTCTGTTGGCTTTGTTGTTTTTAATCTTTGCGATCATTGACTCGTTTCCAACTGTCTATTGGGGCTATTTTTTATAGTCAGGTTTTTGGATTGAGTGGTAGTGAACTCAGTCTGGATGTCATTTGATATTTTGGAGCTTTGGAGTTTTTCAATAATGCTATTCTTGCGGCCCTTTTATAAAAAAAAGTTGCCCATTTAAGTGCTAAGTTAAAATGATGTTTTATTACCGCTCTGAACTTATTGGCACCTGGGATCAAATGGTAGACGGCTAAATAGCATGGAATGATTTTTCTGAAAGTTTTGGGCTCAGAACTTAGTACTTTGAAAATTGTTGGACGAAGTTATGCGCGTTTTTATGCACGTATTTGTGATGCTCAAAGTGCAGCGTGACTTATTTCAGCGCCACGAATTGAACCAAATTTAATACCATTCAAATAATTGTTACTAACTGAATTGTTGCAAGTTACTTGGCCACAAAGTTTCCTTGACTCAAAATGTTTTTTTTGCTATTTTTGTTAATTGGTTATCTTTACCCTAATAGTTCTATTTTCGGATGTTTTTTTTCAGAGCTAATTGTAAGAAACGAAGTTGTAAAGTTCACAAAACCCAGTGTGTTTGCGGCATGAAAATAAAGTTTTTTTGAATGTCAATCAACGCAGTGAGGAAACTTGAATTCGTCGTATTGATATATATTTTTTTACTTATGCACTTCGCTTGTTCACTTTCAAATTTTATTTTTCGCGGTTTGATTTTTGTTCATTTTTAAGCCAAAAGTTGAAACAAAAAAAAATCCAAAAACTACAAGTGTTGCAGAAAAACGTGAATCAGTTTTATCTAAAAATTGGTGAAATTCAAAGAGTTTTAACACGATGTGTTTTCCTTCGAGTGTTTAAATATTTTTTTTTGGTTTCCGTTAGATCGTCGTAGTTTATCTAACTGTTGGCTCTATTTTGATTTCGGTGGTTGCTAGTTAAATCAACCAATTGAAGTTTCGTTTTTTTCAGATCTTGTGTTTGTTTTTTTTTTGTTGGGAAGAAATCTCAAAGAAATTGTGTTTTTGGGGTTAGTTCGTTGATTCAATTCTTTAATAAAAGAATAATAACATTTTCTGAGAACAATTGCAAATGGCGCCAAGAGCTTTGAATGACTTTTAGTTTCTTGAGCGGACATAACTTTTTGAACTAACAGTGGATTGGAAAATTTTTTGTTCTAATTTTCGCAAATTGAGTGAGCTTTATCGAAAAAGTCTCAAACCATAAATTGAAGAGGCCGAAGTTCAAATATTTTGTTTTTGAATGTGCTCATTTTTCTTGAGCTAGTTAACACTTCCAAATGCCTTCGGCGTTGTATAATTTTGGAGGCATTTTCTGGCAGCTTGTTGTTCCGACCAAGGCAAATAGGGAGGAACTTTGTGTTTGGGTGTGTTAGTTTTTTGTTTTTCATCCAAATCAGGTACTAAAAAATCATCAGATTGTGTCGAGGGATATTTCATATTAAATCTTTTCACTCTTGATTTGAACGACTTTTAAAAATTTCAAACCGTTGTCCCAGTGTCGAGAAAAACCTGTTTGAATTTTTATGAGTTAAGGCCTTGTTTCGAGCAAGTAAAGACATCGAGTAAGTAACTTTCGTTTTATGAAATTTGTTCTTTTTGCGTTTGGCACGAACAGCTCGGTAATAATAGCTTTCAAAGAAAATGAAAAAATTCAAAAGTTTTGTGCAAAATTCTAAAAAAAAAAAGTTAATTCTTTTTAAATTTTTTTTTGTATGTTCTTGATTTTTGTGAAGACAAATTTTGTCGATTATGCCTAATTAACTAACTTTATATGCGTTTGTTTAGTTTTTTCATCACACCACGCGCACAAGAAACGACACTAATTCAAAAACACTAAAAACAAAATATCGAAAACAAAAACTTTTCTTATGAATATGGTTAGAACATTCGGTGCTACTTGCTACTTGTTTATAATTGCAGATGTAAAGCCTAGAAAAATATAGATCCGTCCCTGACAAAATCTTTACCCGACAATAAAATGAATCGGATAATGGGAAAAGTCATTGCTAAAATTAACAATTAATTTATTCAGGTTTTTGTCGTTTCAGAATTCCGAATTTTGTATAAGTTTCTTAACTATCTGGAAATAAACTCTTTTTTGAGCGATGAAGGTTCAAGTACTGTTGTTTTACCAATTTTTGGAAGTACAGTTCAAATTTTGATTGAATTGGATAATGGAAAGTCATTGCAAAAATTAACAATTAAAATATTTAGGTTTTCGTTGGTGGTGCAAAACGGACTAAATTCGAACGGACACCAAAACGTCTGTACAATATCGTCTTCACTGATCCTTCAAAACCACTTCGACATTTTCTTCGAAATATTCCACAAAGACACTCTCCTGGGCTGTGTGGAACCACGTGGAAAATTCGGGGTGCCAATGGAGCAGGCATTCTACCCTCTGGAAAGCCAGATGTTCATCAAACCGAGAGTGAAAGAAGGCGAACGTGCTAGGTGGTCCTTTTCTCAGAAGGCGATAGATTGGAGAGTGATCAAGAAGAATGGAGGCGCGAGGAGGGTTCTGATTGAGCAGTGTAATGTGGATCCTGAGTATGCGAGATCTGAAACTTTGTTGCCTCTCAGAATGATTTTGCAGCTTGAGACTATCAAGGTAGGGTGAAAACAATGAATTGATATTCAATTTGGTTGTTTTAATGAAGGCGTTGCATGGAAGCCAAATAATTATATTTAAAGCCAAGGTATTAGGGTGAATTGATGCTATGTTTGCTAGTTCGGCACGATCCAAGGTCGTCTGCAGGACACTCCTCATTACGTCATTCACATGAAGCCCACTTGTATTCTGCGCAACCTGTCCCCTTACCCCATCTACCACAGAGTGAGAGCGGCAGATGCGAACAGTGGAAGCAACACGGCCAACACCAGATCTTACCAGATGCTCGCCTACGGAGAACAAGAGGCTAGTCAATTTTTGAATTTTTTCGTTTTTGTTCTCCGACCAGTCTCTTGAAGCGAGTGGTGTAGGTTGGGTTTTTAAGTACCAAACTTAGGGACATAAAGAAAGCTCAGAGAGATTCAAATATCGAAGTGTCGTATCGTAAATATTTTTTTTCGGTTTTCAGACTAAATTGGACAAAAGCTGATGAGAGGTTGGCCTCGTGAATTAGTTCTCCGACAATTTCAACGTTTATTCCGCTATTGTTACCTCTCATTATTGCAGTTTCTTAAACCTAATTAAGATCCCTTTGAGTAAAAAATTTAAAATATAAGAAAAGGTTTTTCTTATGGATATTTTGTAATTTTTTGATTTTTTTTCTTAGGTCACTGCTATTTCAAGTGTACTGTTGATTTCACAGCAAAAAATGTGGTATCAACAAAACTTTAAATTTTTTTCATCGCAATCCTGAAAAAGTTTGGCATGTTGAAAAAGGTGCAATCTGAATTGAAACCATGTGTCTACTCGGGAAATGAACAATGTACGAGCTGTTTAGCTTCCTACGTAGATCTGCTGCTAAGCCGATCGTTACGAACTCAATGCATTTTATGGATGACAAATATACTCGTAGTTCCAGACGAAAAATTTGGCTCCGCCTGTCCTTATTTTTGAGAAAAATCAGTTTATATAAAAAAAGAAGTATAGATTAACATCGGTAACTTTTGAACAAAATTTATACATATTGCACCAGAGAGGACAGCTACCGAATCCATGAGGATCACATGCTTTGCTGCACTTATGTTAAATTAGCAACCTGGCGGATGGAGTTTTATTTGAAGTATTAACACATTTCGATTTCATCAGAACATAGTACCGAATTTATAATAAAATTTACTAAGTTTTTTAGTTAATTTTACCCTAAGTTAGAAACTTAAAAATTCTAAGTGGCTTTCAGGGAAATTCCAAAATTGGGGTAGATTCTCCTTCCAGAGAGCCCTATGGGCTCCTTTTTGAATTTTTTAAACAAATTGGATTAACATTTATTTTAGGCTTAATGGAATTGTTCTGTTCAGATAAGGCTTTTAAAATATATATTTAAACAAGTGACCTTTTTTTCAATCTCAACTTGCACATATTAGCGCTCATTTTGGTGGCACGTTTTCTGCACAGCATTGGCAGTGTAAGTGGCGTTTTTTTCCGCTTTATCAGTGGCTAGTGTTTCGGTTCTTTACGCGTCATAAACATAATTATGTAGGGTATTCTCTCATTTATGTAAGGTAGTCGCACAGATGTGTAGGGTGGTCTATTTGAATGTTTGAGGCATGTGGTTTGCTTCCCTTGCAGGACATTTATTTTCCAAAATTCTTTAATTTTTTTCTTTTTGAATTGTTTTCAAATTTTACCCTCTTCTCTTTTTAAGAGTCTTCTCTTTTACAAACGTAGTTCCGACTCATATAAACGTAGTTCAGACTCATATTGGCCGTGATAATTTTTTTGTTTTTTTTGAGGAAAATATGTGAAGTTTTTGACGCTCAAATTTGATTCTTTGCGTTGGTTTGACTTTTGATTTCTTCTTTTGATTTCGGTTCCTTTCTTTTGTTCAAAGGAAGGAAAACTCGACTATCGAACAGCAGAATTGTTAAGTTCACGAAAAACGTAATTGATTTCTACGTTCGAAAGTGGAATTTAATTTTAAGATTTCCCAGAAAATAAAAAATTTACGTAACACTCCAGTTTTCTCAAATTGAGTTTTATTTATCTAAAAACGCAAATCTTTGTTCTCCAAAATCAAAGAGTTCTAAGGACATACATGTTGTTCTGTAAAGGAAGTTTTTTCAAAAAAACAAGTCTGCATTTTCTTTGTTGTTTTGCGTATATTGACTCGTTTCCAACTGTCTATTGGCTATGTTTACTATTTTTGACCCTTTTAGAGCTACTCGTTTATTGCTATTTTCTCGTTTGAATTTGTGAAGTGTAGTTTCGTTTCTGCATTTATTTTAAGGTGCAACTTTTCTTTTGTACATGGGTAGTTATCAAAGTTATCGGTTGCCGCTGGAAATGGAAAATAGCAACGCAATTTTAAAACTTAAAGCATGCGGTGAAGTCAAAAAGTGTCAATGAACGTAGTGAAGACATTTATATTGGCTGTTATGATCGTTTGTTTTTTCTCAAAAAAAAAGGTCTTTTAGTTTGAGTTAATGTTTGATTTTTTATCAAGCTGTTCTGAATAAATTTATTTGAAATAAACTCATTCGTTTTTTAGTGAACCATGTCTTTTTTACTCTCCTTGTCTGTTCAGGTCGTGTATGAGGCAGTGCAGGGTAGTACTAAACTGGACGTGGATCTAACAGACCAGACAGACAAGAGATACCCTGGCTACGTTACAGTGAGGAAGGGCAACCAGGCGCAGTGCATCACCTACGGACAGTGGTTTGATGCGGAAAAATCAGCCTCATTGGTTAGTCATTCGGTGCTCTAGAACAATCTAGCTTACATTGTCTACAAGCTATAAAATAATCACCATGGGAAGGAAACTGGGAAGTATCGAAATAGTCTGGTTGATTTATGAGATTTTTGAGGTAATTTGAGACTGATTTTTATGAGAAAATAATGAAATTCTTGAAAAAATTCCTGATTTGTGGTCATAACCAAGACAACAAACTAAATCAAGACATTTAAGTTGGAATCTTTTTTGGAAAGTTATGATTTCCACTAGGAGACTAATCCGGAAGATAAATTAGAAAATCATAAATCTTTATAATAATGCCAGGAGGTTGAAATAAAAAGAGTTCGATTGCCTCTACTATCGTCAAACTATTCTGCTTGTTGGTACATCTAAAAATATCGGATAAGTGCATTCAAAATACTTTAATTCTAATTTTAATTCGATAATTTATTCAAATTCTAATTATCTAAGAGTTAAGAGTTCTCCAGTTGCAGTTAATTGCAGCAGATATGTTTTTTTATCGGTTTTTGCTCTGGAAACCCAACCATCAGCTCTGTCAGAGAAGGTAATTGTTCGCCATTTTTCTTTCCTCTTTCGGCCGCTGGAATCTTTTATGTCGATCGTGGTAAAATTTCTTCAACGTCATTTCGTTTTTGAGCAGGAAGTTGTAGAGCTAATCTTGACAGGCTGACTCCTTTCATCGAGAAATTTTCCGGGGTATTTGCACTCGGGAGCTATCAATCGCGTTTTTGTCGGAGTTTTCTGTTCTGGCCAGCTTTTCCATTTTTTGTTTCGATTGCAACAAAATACTACGAATATTCCTGTGACGATATTAATAGCCACTATAACCAAACATAGGATAACATTCTGGCTGTTGTATAATTCTCCTATTTCCGATTGGATATTTGCGGCGGGTATTTTGATGTCTTCTTTCTGGCTTGTGGGGTCCATCGTCTAAAATTAAGAAGGCGATGAATATTTCTGTCCCATTAGAAATGAAAAATTTGTTTGGATGGACTTTTGGTATAGTGTCATTATCAGGTCAAAATTACCCAATGGTTCGATCTCTCAGGAATTCGAACTTTACATGGAATTTTCAAAATGAAGAGTTCAAGGGAAAAGGGACGTCTTTTTTATGTAGGCTCTTTTGAAAGTATAGCTAATCGGTTCATATGGCTTTTTCATGACGTAGCTAACAGTTCTGTTCATTATAAATTTTTATGGCTGTATGCTTGTCAAGTTTTTCGATTCAAGTATGACAGTTTAATGGCCCCTTATGGATCTCGAAAATTTATTAGATGGATCCCCTAAGAATAAAGTTTTCGCTAATATATTTTTCGCTTATTGTCTCACCTATCTTTTTGTTTTGGGGACTAGCTATCGTACCAACTGTTTTTCAAATTGAAGCTTTGTTTGTTAATAATGTGAAAATTTGAAATTTTGGCAATGTTGAAAAAGTTCTAGTGGGTTCCGAAAAAGGTGCAACTAGAATGTGTTTTTTTTTGTTGTATGCGGAAATTGGACTCATTGTCCATGCTGGATATTGATATAGTAGAAGCAGTTTTCCTGTGAACGCTAACTTACAGTAGTCGTAGTGGCGTCAATATTTTTGCAGTCGGATCACCTGCACTGATTGATGACGACAGTGGTAAGGGACAAAATAGTGGTTCTAGCTCACAGGTTGTTCATATGTAAGGGGTAATGGTTGAACGAGCTAAGTGTACAGTTTGAAATGAAAACCAATGTCATGTTGCTCGTTGGGCACCTTTTAACTGGTTAGCACAATTTAAAAGGCCTTTTTGATCGACCAGCGATGATGAAAAGGGTTCATTGTTCAATAACGGAAGTGATTTTGAAATATACTAGTACAAAGAGTTATTGCCCGTTCATTTTTTTACCCTTTGTTGATGGTTGAATTTTCTGTTTTTTTTTCATTGTGTTTTTTGTACATTGTCAACGTCAATGGCACAGTGAATAAAAGAGATTAACTGACTAATTTTCAACGGACGGCAAAAAATATCTTGATAAGTTTAGTGGTCACTCAAACAGTATATTTTAAAATCAATATTTCTATCTGTTGTTGAAAAACTCAGCTGGTAATAAATTATGATTTATAACTAAGAGATGAAAATTTTGCATGCTAGTACCGAAACGAAATGTTGATCGAAATTGTTCGCTCCAAAGAAAAAAGTTCGAATGGAATTATGCATTTGAATCTTTTTCGTTATAGTTTTGTGCACTGTATTGATAGCGCTCAATTTTATTATAAAAACTGATGAAAGATAACTATTGGTCAAGTAAACAAAAAGATAAAAATTAACGAATAAACTAAATAGTTAGATAAGCAACGGCTTCCTAAAAACAGGAAAAAAGTCTTTAAATAACAGTTGAGTCACACAACGTGTGCTCTATAATGATCAAACCAACTTACTTGGTGGTACTTGGAGGTCGTTTGTTGCACGGTTGTATGTATAGTATATCTGTGGCATTAAATGCAACAAATCGTTCTAAAAGAATGAAAGTTTGCTGGTTTGTTAAGTGAGTTGGACTAAGTCACCATTGATCTATTTGCAAAGCATTGCGCTGAAGTTGTTCGACTGAAACGAAGTTGTAATTTGTCGAAGTTAGATTTGAGAGGTTCTTTTGATATGTGAAGTGGTATAAAAGTCGAATTGCAGTGCCATATTTGTATTTCGTGTTTGCTGTTTTTATGATCTGCTCAATGTTCGAACTAAATCATCGACTGGGTATTCAAACTAGAACTGGGTATTCAAACATAAAAGCTCTCCGTTGACACGTCTATTTTGCTAAGAAGAAAATGGAAGATTACTAAGTCCGTTTGATTCCACTCTTAAATGAATGGACTGAATTGAAGTCGAGTTTGAATGTGATCTGGGGCAAATTTAATTGCCTCGGGCTCCCTAGGGGTCGAATTGAAAGCGAAGCAATCGATAGTTTAAGAATTGCTATCAAGCGCCACTTCAACAGTTTCCTTCATGGCTGTTATAGGCATATTTGTAGTTGTTTACCTATTGAGGCTGATGTTTTCGTGTCGAAACATAAGAGATATCACATACGTTCCAGATCAGGTGTTCGATCTCTGCCCACAAATAAATGACCCATTTATGCAGTATGTAAACGTTCATTTCAAAATTTGTGGCTTTTTCAGACAAGGTTAGCTAGATGTTGAAGTGAATCGATTCCTTTCAGTGAGTTTGTTTTCGAAAGTAGAGTCGTGTTCAAAACTCGGTTTCATGTGTCCTAATTCAGGGTCTTAATGGGGGATTTCTCAGGACGGTAAACTGAATCTAGCTTTACACATTTCAAACTTGATTAGGTTGTAGGCTTGTTTTCGAATTCTCAGAATTTTCTAAACGAAAAGTATTGACCTAATTACACAGGCTTGTTCGCAAGTATCAGCAAATGCTCCGACCAAAGATTTGTTTTATCTCTCCAAATTTATTTTCAAACGTCGCTACAAATTTGGTTTTGAGAGTCGATGAACGTTGTGAAGACTCTTATATGGGCCGTGATGATTTTTTCAGGAAAATTTGTTCAGTCTCAAAGTTGATTTAGCGGTTTGAATTTTGATTTCTTTTAAAGCTTCAGTTCATTTCCTTTTTTAAAGGAAAATGCAAACTCGAACAGCAAAGTGTAAAAGGTCACGAAAAACGTGACCGACTTCTGACTTTAGTAGTGAATTGTAATTGTCAAATTTGCCGGCGAAAAATAAAATTTACTTATAGATCCAGTTCTCTCAAATTGGGTTAGTCTTAGCTAATAAGTGTAAATCTTAAATCGTTCTAGAAATTCAAAGAGCTTTATGGTCATCTCTTTTTTTGGAAATTCGAGTTGAGATTTTAAAAAAAAACAAGTCAGTGTTTTTTTTCTGTTTACTTGCGTTCATTGACTCTTTCTGTTGGCTTTGCTTGGGTTTGTTGTATCAAATGAGTGTCAATCATCAAAATTTCTGCAAATTGAAAGAATTATTTTTTGCAAAGCCAATTTTCCTTAACTATATGCATCTGCTAAACTAAACACGTGCACTCAGATTCGTTCATGCTACTAGACGATTAATTTTGTTGGTTTTGCCTTTGGTCCATAAATAAGTTCCCTTTTGATTGGTATTGGTCCCTATTGCAATAAGTAGAAGTAGGAAATCTTTGAAGGTTTTGATTAGCAATTGTTCTGAATGGCGTTGCATGTTGCTAACTTGCAGTAAGACACTACCTGTAGCTATATTGCAATTTATTGGCACATATTGCTCTAAGTAGAAATGGGAACACTTAGAAGGTTTTGCTGGCCAAATGTTGTGAATGACCCTACCTGTTGCTACCTGTTGATTTTTGATAAGGTCGATGATTTTATGAATTCAAGACAGTTTTTGGATTTTGGAGTGATCTGTCCACTGCAGCTAGTCTCCAGGGGAACATTTTAGGATAGTTTTCAATGGGTAATAACTATTTTCTATAAAGATTTTTAGCAAAAATAGTTAAATAAGGAAAACTTTCAGAAAGAGTTTATGTTGTTGTCATCGTGATTATTTAAAAAAAATTTGAGAGTCGGCCTTGTGGATTGTGTTATGTGCGGTTATTAATTTTTGTCGTAAATGCAATTGTTTTTGATGTATTTCTGTAATTTATAAAACTAATAGCTCTGACATTATATATTTTCTTTTTTGTTTGTTTTTGTTTCGCTTAAAAGCTTCGTTCGGCCTAAATGTTGTCGTCTTATGTTTTATTGACTGAGTTTCCTTGTTTTGTTTTTCTTCAAGGCCGAAAAATGAGTGATTGAAGAATCAGATGTCTTGCAAAAGTTCAAAGTCTTAAACTTATTTGCTCAATTTTTTTTGACGTTTTCGGCTCAATGAATGGTTTAGAGCGGTTGTTTTTGACTCAATTAACGCATTGTTGGCTTAGTGGCCGTTTGTTAAAAGTTAAAGACTTAATTATTGCTGTTTGTTGTGTTTCTTGACTATTTTTGATTTTTTTTCCATTTTTTCCGAAATATATGTTTTCGATTTTGTTATGTTCGTCTAATTTTCTGTTAACTAGCTTGCAATGCTGTGCTTGCCTTGTTGTTATACAAATGAGGTGAAGCTCCGCTTTGCCTCTGTGTTGGACTCTCTTTTTTTCCAACCTAAGTCGGAAATATTAGTGTTCATTTTGAAAGTGTTCTTTGGTCAATAACCAACAGCCAATGCTAAGAATATTAACGAAGACTTATATTACAAATAGCACTTTAGCTTCATAGTGGCATTGAACTGTAGCGTAGAGGTAGGGAAGGAGACACGTAACAAAATAAGAGGGTTCGATAATGGGCAGGGTCGGATGGTTTTTGTGAACTTTTTCTTACGAAGTTAAAATGCGTCCGCTCTATAAATTGAGGCATGTTAGTTGGTGAGTTTTTATTTTTTAAAATGACTGGTACTGCTAATACGTCATAGCTGGCTTGCGTCAATTAGCAATTATGTAGACTCATAATTGTCGTGCGTCACTTAAGAAATTTTGTAGATGCAAAGTTTTACTCGTTCAGTTTTTCCTAGTAGGGTTATCGTTCATTTTTATGCTTGTGCATGCGAAGTGCAACTTTGCCTCTGTTTTGGTTATCATTTTGCATATTATTGAAGCTTGGAAAACTTTTTTGGTTAATAGTTAAAATGCGTCCGCTCTTTAAATTGAGGCATGTTAGTTGGTATTTTTTTTTCAAATTGACTGGTACTGCTAATGCTCCATAGTTGGCTTGCGTCAGTTAGCAATTTTGTAGACTCTTAATTGGCGTGAGTCACTTAAGAATTTTTGTCGACTCAAAGTTTTACTCATTCAGTTTTTCAAGTTGCGTTATCGGTCAAATTTTTGCCTATTTATGAGAAAAGCAACTTCGCCTCTGTGTAAAATTTAATTTAGTGTGTTTAAATAAGTTGAATAAGTGTCATTAAACTCCTAAAATTTATCGAATAGACTTATCCGAAAAGGTATCGTATGATGTAAAAAAAACGTGTATAATGAAAAAAATTATTGTGAGTTGGCTGAAATATTGTGTGAACTATACGATCCTGTTTACATGCTGAGTATTGGGTTTCAAAGGTTCGCATCAAAGCGAGGTTCAAAACATATATTAACTTGGACGTAAAAAATGATACATAATCAAGTTGAGAAATCACATGTATCTGTTTTCGCGATCATGATTTCCTAACATTGTTTTATTTTGTAGGTGATGGGTATGTCGTGGGAGTTTGACGAGAGCAACTTCCTGGTGATGTCCATATTCGCACCTTACTGGATTGTGAACAGACTCGAGAGAGACCTATACATCAAGGTTGGTGCCATTGCGTTGTTTTGATACTGCTTATGTACAAAAATTGGTGCCATTGCGTTGTTTTGATACTGCTTATACACAAATAGTTGCTGCTTCTATGGTATTTTTATTTTATGTTTACTTTAACGATAAGCGAGGGTTTTGTAATCGGGTACTAGACTCTTTCCCGTAAATAGTTTTGTTCACAGGACTCATTTCCTTGAACTTTTCACACGACCTTTTCATCTGGGCTCACATGACCTTTTCACATGATCATTTCACTTGACCTTTTCATCTGGACTCATTTTTTTGAAGCTTCTTGGCAACCAATTTACCGCTACAGATTTACCGCTCGTTTTTTTTTCAGCTTAATGAGTTTTCTCAAAGGTGTTTTCTCCTTAGTTAACGCTCGGTAAAAAAAATTTTCGGTGCGAATTGTACATTCTATTGTCTTGGCTTGTTTATTTTTTCAAAACTAACCCTATTCATTTTGATATATCTAGTTTTTTTTCGACATTTTTGTTTCGACTTAGCGGCGTTCTTGTTTTTTATCGCAAGTGGTGTGAAGCTCAGCTTTGCATCTGTGTGATAAATGGGAGTTCTCTGTGTTTTTAGCGTGCGGATGATGAGAAAGTGCTGCTACACCCGCGTGACTTCGCCGGCATCACTCTGTTCACGCCCTCTAGTAAGGAGACAGTGGAGAAGATGCGACTGTGTGTGCGAGTGGACAACACCCTCTTCTCCGACAGTCTCAACATACAGGCTGTCGGTAACGCTGAGGTACACACTTGTTTGATACTATTTGGACGTTACGTAGAACAGACTAATTATAAGGGCGAAGTCTTCTCGTGGAACTTGGAGATCTTTGATCGTTGCGTCGACGAGAAAAGTTTTCCGATGGTACTTTGGTGTCTTCGGAACCCTATATTTGGAATAAAATTAGATTTGACATGATGAAATTAGCCTACAGAATATGAATTTGTTTTAGTGTGCACTTTAATGCACACTTGAGAATACTGCTCAATTTCTGTCCGTTCTCGAGCTTCACCTATTATGTCTTTGTGTATGTTTTGTGTGTCAGGTGGCAGTGTGTCCACGGAGGAGTGGAGGCGACCAATTGGTGGGAGTGACTAACACTCTATCCAAGATGGGATACACCAAAATCATTGTCATCACTCCCAACTTCATTCTACTCAACAACACTAAGGTGATTTATTTCATGCACTAGGAGTCTTACTTTAAGTATTGTCTTTCTCTTAGTCGGAAGATTTTCGGTCATTCATCATATTTTCTAAAATCTTACGGACGACTTTGAAGCTATTGGTAAAAGTTTCAAGGAACTTTTTCAAAGAGTGTAATCGATATTAGAGCTACACGGAGTAGTTTTGTCCTTGGAGTATAATCATGAGTATCACATAAGCTGGATGAATTTTCGTTTCACCTTTAAGACCGTTTATCCGTTAGGAAAATACAATCTGATCAGCTCTTACCGAACCGCATTTGAGCATTTTATTAAAATGAAGATTTATTGGTTAATATTGTCAGCTATGAAGTGCTACTCGACAAGAAACCAGCGAATAAATTTTATCACTGTTTTGTGTTTGTATTGTACAATGTTTTTGACAAAATTTTATCATTGTTTTTTGTGTGTCTTCCTATAGTACCATCTGGAGTACGCTCAGTTCTTCCAAGACCAAGACGCGAGTGAGTCTCAGACGTGGAAGCCTCTGGCCGAAGGAGGAGTTGTCGGGTTCTGGCCGGAGACGCAGGATATCCATGGGAATGATTGCAGGAAAAAGATGCAGATGATGCTGCGTATGGGTCCGAGCAGCACTTCCAAGCCCTTCTTCATTTCGCGCACGGACGATTTTCTGGTGCGCATGCAGCAGGTGAGAATTTTTTATCAAGTGAAAGCTTTCAGATAATCATAGAACTGGTTTTGGCTGACTCCTTTAGAAAATTGCTAAGCGACGTATCTTTTCTAAGCGACGTATCTGGTTTCGACTTCTGCATTTGCATTTGACTGGTTATGATGCATTTGTTTAGATTGGCTGTGTTCACATTTCTGTAAGCGTGAGCGAGAGTGCGACTACTATCACAGTGAACACTTACTTCCCGGGAGCAGCACCTGCTAAACTCTTCAATCTCACCGACAGAACCATACTACTATGGCAGAACCAGGTAACATACTACAGCAGTCCTGCAATGACGTCACTCTCTTCGAGATAATTACACAAGCAAAGTTTGTGTGATAGTATGAACTCTCTTTTTTTCCAACCTGAGTCGCAAATATTAGTGTTCATTTGAAAGTGTTCATTTTGATGAATAACCAGCTATTAAGTACAGCCAATGCTAAGGATATTAACACATACCATTATATTACGAATAGCACTTTAGCTTCAAGTTATCATGGATCTGTAGCGTAGAGGTAGGGAAGGAGACAAGCAACAAAATCAGATGGTTCGAACCTGGGCAGGGTCGGATGTTTTTAATGAACTTTTTCGTATGAAATTAAAATGTCGGATCTTTTCCAGTTTCCCCCCTTTCAAAATACCTAGTTTTATGTTTGTTTTACGTGTTATTACGGCTAAATGCGTGATGTTACGCTGTAAAGTATGAAGAACAAATCTGTTCACAGTTGTCGATTCGTTCACCACGCCAAACTTCATTGCATTATGACAAGGTTAAATAAGCTTTTCAAAATTGAATTTGAAAGGGGGTGACTGGAAAAGAGCCAAAATGCGTCTGCTCTATTAATTGAGGCATGTTAGTTGGTTAATCTTTTTTTGAAAATGACTGGTACTGCTAATACGTCATAGCTGGCTTATCGTGCGTCGTGCGTCACTTAAGAAGTTTTGTAGATGCAAAGTTTTACTCATTCAGTTTTCCCAGTAGCGTTATCGATCATGTTTATGCTTGTGCATGCGAAGTGCAACTTCGCCTCTGTTTTAGTTATCATTTTGCATATTATTGAAGCTTGGAAAATGCTTTTTGTTTCGACCAATGAAAATGGGGGGGGGGGACTTTGTATTCGGGTGTGTTTTAGATTTTTCATTTTTTTCAAGCAAAATCAGATATCACAAAAAAATCATAGAATTGAGTTGAGTGTTATATCATATAGATATTTTAGTCGCGATACTTTTTTTTATTATTTCTCATTTTTCAAAGAAAACTTTTCAATATGCATATTTTACTATATCGGAAATCACTAAAATCTGGTCTTCGTTCAAATCCTTTCATCGCACCATGCACAAAAAATTGAAAATAATTTTGAAAAAAACTTTATTGTCCCAACCAAGCGCTGATCTAGGAATTTCTCGGCGGGGGGTGCGGATTTCCAAAAAATGGAAAATGTTGTTGACCTTTTTTTAGGTCGAACAAATTGATTTTCTGAGCTTTCCCAAACCACTATAAAGACCCTGTTTTGCACCCCTCCCCCCTAAATCCGCTACTGGTCCCAACCCTCTACGTGTCTGATAAGGACAAAGCTTTCACCTAAAGCTTGTGTTTGATGAGGAATTTTTTGTTATTTTTTTCAGAAATCAGAGCGTGAAGCGAGTAATTCGGCTTTTAAGGCGGCTTTGCCCTCCTTTATTGCACATCATCTAGAGTCTTCTTCTTCGTCCTCCTCTTCGGAGTCTGAGTTCGAAGAGTATGACCTCGCAGATAGTCCAAATCTGTTCACTCTAAAAGTATCTCGGACCAAAAGCTTGTCCAACGTAAGCGACACTTGAATGATAGATTCTTTTTTTTCTGCGAGCCAACTGATCAAATTTGTTGTAGAATATAGCAGCTGTTCTGTTCGCAACTGCTTCGTTCGGGTCGGGAAGAAATGGCCGTTGAAATAGGTCACTTCTGAGGTTTTTCTTGTTAGTCTTCATTGTCTCAATTCAAATTTTGACATATTGATTTGGTCATGAGTGTTCATGATTGATGGAAATTTTCAGTTATTTAGATCGTGTGGATTTTTCATGCTAAAAATGATATCTTGGCTGTTAGTTTTTTTTAGAAGTGGATGATAGCTATTCAGACTCTTATTTAGGTCGTGATGATTTTTCAGGAAAAGTTTAAAATTTTGTTCAGTGTCAAATTCATTTTTCGTGATTTGAATTTGATTTTTTTTTACAAGTTCAGACAATTTCTTTTGTTAAAAGGAAGGCAAATTCCACTATCGGACAGCAAAAGTGTAGAACTCACAAAAAACGTGATGGATTTCTAGTTTCGAAAATGTTTAACTTTCAGATTTCCCAGTGAGATGAAAATTTTACCTTGGGATCCTGTTTTTTCATATGAGACTAATTTTATCTTTTGAAGATTTTTTTGAAATTTCTTCAAGAAAGAGATTAAGATGTTTTAGAAAATTGTAGTTGAGTTTTAGTTTTTTCAACCAAACTCGCATAAGTTAGTGCTCAATGAAAATTAGTTCTCTATGAAAGTGCTCTTTTTTTTATCTGTTTATGGCAATTGAATAGCCTGAATTTTATTCAATTCATTGATGGCTGGTGTTTTTCAAAAAATTTTTCTCATGTTTTTCTTAGTGTTTCAAAGCCCTTTCTGTCGGTTTTTGTTTGAATTTGCTAAGTGCAGCTGTTTAGGTTTTCACCGTAAATTTAACTTTTTGATTGCTGAAATTACAATCTATCTTTTGAGCCAGTTTGCGCAAATTGTGTTAGTTTCATTGAGGCACAATCCATTTTGTGAATTCAATAGTGTATGTTTATGCCAAGAGGTGGTTTGCTTTGTTCAAGTTGAAAAAGTCATAAACTGGTTCAGTCTGAAATTTGATTTTCCGTGGTTTTAATTAAAGTTTTTAAGTTAAAATAATTTGCTAAAAGGAAGATATTTTAAGTTACCCAATCATGAAAATGGATATGGCTAAAACGATAATGGATAACGATATGTCTAATGGATAAAACATGATTCTGTAGTTTCAGTGTATTTACACAAGCCAGGCTTGGTCTAATACTACGAAGCAACTTTTTTCCGACAAAAAACAAAGAATGTGCCTATTTGGTGGAAATTTTTGGTATATAAACAAAGTTCTATGTGCTGGAATGAAATTTCCGACCTGTAGTTGAGAATCCTAATCTACAGTTCGGAAATTTGGTTCCGGCACATGGCAAAAATTTTATTTTTCATGGCTTCTGTTTATTATTTTTTCCTTGTTTCTTTTTTGTCCTTTTAGAGCTGTTCTTTGTCGTTTTTTCGTTCGTGCAGTGCAGCTTGGACGCTGTTTAGTTTTCAGTTTCCCCATAGAGTAAAAAATTACTTATTGATTCAGCTTTTGCAAATTGGGATAGCTGTATCACAAAAAATAAATCGTTAAAGGTTTTTGAAATTGCAAGAGCTTCAACCTCAAATAATTGTTTTGTTTGAGTTTTTGAGAGGAAACTGTTTTAAAAATCAATCCTGAAACATTTTGGAAGCTCAAACAGCTCAACGCTGGTGTTTTTTAAGTTGAAAAATTTTCCAAAAAAATCAGTAATTTTTTTGTTAATTATAGTTCATTGATACATTTCTTATTGTCTTTGGCCATATTTAAGAGCCGATGAAAGTACTTCAGCCTCTTATGTAGATCGTGATGATTTTTTCTCAGTTTTTGTTCTGGAAAGGTCTTAATATGTTTTTTTTACAGAAGTGCTTTCATACATATTTATAAATTTATGAATGCTTCTAGGTATATATGGACTATTTGACTTCAATTCAATATCATTTGCTAAAAGTTAGGTAAGTTGCGCTCTTCAATTACAAAAGTCTAGTGGCCACGAAAAATGTTATTGACTTCTAGTTTTGAAAATGGAATTTAATTTTCATACTGCCCATCGTAAAAAAACTTAACCGATCATTTTGTTTTTCTCCAATTGTGTTAATTTTATCGAAAAAGTCTACCCTAAATTGTTCTTGAAATTCAAAGAGCCAAGAAGCTTTTGAAGATTTTTTCATTTTGAACTTTTTTCTTTGAAATTGTGAGTTTTTTTTCTGTTTCCTTGCGTTCATTGGCCCTTTCCAACTGTCTGATGGCTATATTTGCTTTCCTTGTTCATCAGCACTTTTCCAACTGTCTATTGGCAGTATTTAACAAATTTTGTTTCCTTGTAGCGAGTTTGTATCCCCTATAACTCACTAATTCAGCTGTTATCTAATAGTAATTTTATCGAATCCCTTTTTGTTCGAGAGGGAAATAAATAAAAAGATCCAAAAGCTTGAATTCAGAGACCATGATTGCTAATGCGTAGCGTTGTGTCAAAATGCGATATATTTTACACATGTGCAGCCTAGTGACATATTACGAACTTTTTTTCCATTCCAAGTCGCAAAAAAGTGCTACTTCGTGCTGGCCCTTTTGCAGCCAGAGCATTATACCTGGTTAAGAGTGGATGAACATAGATATATTGGTCGTGATGATTTCGTTATTTTCAGGAATAGTCTTAAAATTTGTTCGGGCTCAAATTTACTTTTTCGAGTTCCAGTTTCGAAAAAGGATTTTAATATTCAGATTTCCCAGCGGAGTTAACAATTTACTTTTGATCCGGTGCTTCTCAAATTGGGTTATTTCTATCAATAAAACCCCAATTATAAATCGTTCATGAAAAACGAAGAGCTTTAATGGCATGAATTTTGATTTAAAATTCGAAAGATGAATTTTATAAAAAACGAGTCAGTTTTTTTTTCTGTTTACTTTCGTTGATAAATTTTCCAATGGTCAGTTGACTCTTTTATTATGTACAGCTCATTTCCTCAGTTAAAAGGAAGGAAAACTCCACTATCAAACAGCAAAAATGTAAAGGTTCCGAAAAAACATGATCAACTTCTATTTTGAAAAGTGGATTTGGTTTTTCAAATTTTCTTGCGGAATAAAAACTTTAAATTTTGATCCTGTTTTCCCAAAATAAGGTAATTTTAGCAAATTCGTTGACTTTTTTCCACGTCTGATTTGCTTGTGTCTGCAACAAGTGCAGCTGAGTTTTTGTGCATGAATTACGAAAATGACGTTAAAGATTGAACTTAACAAATTTGATTTTTACTCGTTTCAAAAAACCCCAAAAACAATCGATGATTTTTAACTGATTTACATTTTTGTTTGCAGTTTGTAACGATTGCTTAAATCTAATTTTCTACAATCACTAAAATTTTTGTGATAATTTTCTTTTGCTGGATATAGCTTTTGGCTATCAATCAGGCTTAAATGCCATATTGTTTATCGCAGACACAGACTTAAATGGTTGTTTCTCGTGAAGTAACTAATTAATTATGTTGGGCGTTATCAAGAATCAGTAGAACCCTCCAAGAAAAATCATTTAACTGACCTGTCTCTACAGTATTCAGCAGAGGGCAAAATTAAGTGCCCTGCCGACTCAAGTACATTTTGAGTAACTTTCGTTTTATATTCAGGATCCGGCGCCTCCCGAGAAGACATATGTGCTCGCGCCTAACACCCACATGTTGTTCACGTGGACAGACCCCACTGCACAGAGACTGCTATGCTACAAAGTGGATGGACAACTCACATCTAGTCCCCACCAGAAGGGAGACAAGCAGCAGAACAAGCCTGTACATCCCTTTTTTGATCTCCAGAAGGACGAGTTCCAGGAGATCCAGTGTGGCCAACTTGATGGCAGTGGTGAAGGCGTGGCTAAAAGGTGTGTACATCATTTTCGACAGAACTAAAATTTTAGGCTTGTATGTGCTTGATGGCTTCGAAGTTGAAATTCGAAATCTTTGATCGCCATCGTCTGCTTACATTTTTTTCATTATGCTTGCGATCACCTTAAAGTGTTATTACGAACCTTCTTTTTTTAACACTTGCGATCAGCTTAATGTGTTATTATGAACCTTTTTTTATCTGACCTAACATTCGCAAATAAAAGTGTTCATTAAAAGTGTTCACTTATTTGGAAATTTCAATGTAGCATTGGAAATTGCATAGCATCTGTTCTCTTCTTAAATGGCTGCTAGTGTTTGGAAATTAATAAGATTTCGTGGCTGAGAGGATAGCGTGTGAGTCTCCTAATCTGTAGGTTCTAGGTGCGGATCTCAGAGTTGCTGAAGTTTTGTAACTAATTAGAGGCTTATTTCACTTTATTGCACTTTATAGAGCTACTTTTTGTCGTGCAGATTTCTATAATATCTTTTTTTAAAGTATTTGACATTTGTTTGCCATTTACACAAGTAAAGCGTAGTGTGATAATCCGATATATTTATTCCTAAGTCTCAAATAAAAGTGCCACCGCAGGCAAAATTCTGGAAAAGAAAGCAGGCCACAAAAGGCGTTTGAGTCTTTTTTTAAGAGTCAATGAACGTAGTGAAGACTTATTTAGGTCGTGATGTTTTTTTTCAGGAATAGTTTAAATTTTGTGCACGCTCGAATGTGATTTTTCGCTGTTTTTTCATCTTTTTAAGTTCAGTTCATTTCTTTTGTTAAAAGAAGGCAAATTTCACAATCGAACAGCTAAAGTGTAAAGGTCACAAAAATGTTATCGACTTTTCATTTCGAAAATGGATTTTAATTTTCACATTTACCAGCGAAATAAAAACAGTACTAATTGATTGACTTTTTCAAAATTAGTTATTTGTATCAAAAAAGTGTCAATCATAAATTGTTCTTGATATTCAAAGAGTTTTAGTTTCAAGGCCATATATTATTTTACTTTGGAATTCGAAAATTAAATTAAGTCGGATTTTTTTGTTTCCTTGCGTTCACTGACTCGTCAGCAAAAATTGGTGTTCCTCATCATAAAATTGTGTACTTAAAATAGTATCTAAGTAGGGCACTTTTGGGTCGACAGGGAGTCGAATCACTGAGAGGGGGGCATCCCCCTAAATCTGCAACTGTAGTGCTCCGTTGTTTACAGTTATAGTTTGTAAAGACGGATATTACTCTTTGTTTTCAGGTACTACGGAGCCAGTATGTTGTGCAGACAGCAGAGAGTTCTCGTGTTCACTGACGATCAGTGTCTGGCCACTGGAACTAAAGTGAGTTTAAATACCCATTTAAGTTTTCAATCATTATTTGCTCTTGGCTTACTGAAGTGCACATTTAAAAGAGATGGTTGCTCATTGATTTGTCCTCATACAATTAAATCACCATTTCATTCACTCGAGTTGGCTCACTGACACATGTTTTTTTAGCAAACTGACCTTTCGGCATGTTGAAATGTCTTCAATTTTTCTAATCCGACTTCGGTGATATAATTCGGTTGACATAAACAATATTATGCAGTGCAATTGTTGTTGTCACAGATGCTGTGAAAGAATGAATTTAGATCACACTTTTCAAGGTAAGCTGATGCAATGCTGATTTGAATCATCAAGAACAAAAGATTAAAACTTAGAGCTCGTTTTCTCTCAATTGGGTTAGGACAAAAATTGCTTAAAATGATGCCAGAGGACTTAAATTTTCACCGAAAATGGGTTCTTCTGTAATATAGAAACAGTATGTGCCGGATAAAAATTGTTTGGCTAAGTTAGACGCTTATTTTAACATAATTTATGCAAAAATTGATAGTTTTTTTCGTGTAATTTACTAGCTGAATTTTTTTAGCCAAAATGGCCTTTTTAATGAAGAATATTTGCTCCCGATTTTTACAAATGAAGCTGCAACATTAATTCCAACAAAGTTCTGAACAACTTTTGTCTAATTGTAACCCAATTTTAGAAAACGCGATAAAATTTCAGGTTTTAATCGCTTTGTCATAATAAATTTAACTAGCTCTGTAATAGTTCGGCAAATTTCTTCATGCTCTCGGAGGTGTTATGAATTGGTTCAGGATCATATGATGAAAATGCTTGGTCATACATAAGTCTTAAGGGTTATTCTTCCTACTCATAAAAGGATATTGGTCCATTAAAGCTAGTGAATTAGATGAAAGGAAGTAAAATATGTAAATGGTTTATATTTAGATTTGAGTAATTGATAAGTGAAGACTCTTCAAGCTCTTCTATAACTGTCTCATGTGCATATCATTCTAAATGCTGAAAAAGCTGTTAGCTGGAATAAGTTTATAATCCATAGGTGATGAGAATTTAATAAATTATTTTCATTAACGGGACCTCTTTTGGCTGCATCGTGTTTCTCTTCGCAATTTTCCACGCGGAACCTACTGTCATCATTAAATGTTGAAATATGTTATTTTTATTGATGAGAGAAACTTTTGGTTTAGTACGACGATGATTATGAGGACTACTGTAACGTGGTATGTTGAACGCCTTTCATTCTTGGGTTCTTTTTGGTCAGTTCGCCCAAAACCTCTAAATTGACAGCATAATCAAGGTCTTAATTTTTATGAGCTCTTGCAACAATTAACTGCGAAACTCTTCGCTGAGTGACTATAAGACGCTTCTATGCAAAAGACCTCATTATAAAAAGAGGAGTTTTTTTATAAGCGAAAGTATCCGTTTGCTGTACAAATACCTCAGGAGGAATGATCCGAATACTTTTTACGCCGATAAAAATATTCTGATATGGGGTGCCGCTATGGAAAGCAGCTTAAAAGTAAGAAATTTGAAAGAGTAATGAACGTAGTGTGACTTGTGATTTCTTTTTAAGTTCAAAGCATTTCCATTGTTAAAAGGAATGCAAACTCCACTATCGAGCAGCAAAAATCTAAAGGTCACGAAAAACGTGATCGACTTCTAATTTCGAAAATGGAAATTAATTATCAGATTTCCCAGCAAAATAAAAGTTTTCTCTGTTGATTCAGTTTAAGTGCTTTATGGCCCTCTGATTTTTTTTGAAATTCAAAAGTTGAAGGTTTTTAAAAAAAGTTTTTTTTTCAGTTTCCTTGCGTTCAGTACTCATGTTTTAAGTTTACACATGTTCAATTTCAATATATTTTATACTGCTCAAGTCACTTTGGTGAGCATTTTAGAAGCAATTTTGTTGCTGACTGGTATTTACAATTAATTACAGGATGCAGGATGTGTTAACTGACGAGTACAGCTTAGCGAATGGGTTAAAAGAAAACTTTAATCCCGTGTAGTTAACAAAATAAACTGTTTGCAAAGACCATGTAGTTTCAATGAGCGAATTGAAGTCATTTTTAGGTCGTGTTGTTTTTTAGTAAGAGTAATAAACGTAGTGAAGACTCCTATGTAGGTCTTGCTGATTTTTTTTAGGAAAAAGTTTTAAAATATTGATGCACTTAGGTATATATGCACTTTTTAAGTTCAATTGAAATTCATCTGCTGAAAGTGACGTAAATAGCATTCTCCAAATATGAACGTGGAAGTGGCGCAAAAAAAACGTGAAAGATTTCTAGTTTCGAAAGTGGAATTTAATTTTAAGATTTCCAGCAGAATAAAACTTTACCTGTTGATCTAGTTTTCTCAAATTGGTAAAATGTTATCAAAAAAGCGCCAATCATAAATCGTTCTAGAAACTCAAAGAGCTTAAAGGGCATGCGTTTTTTTTTCTTTGAAATTCTAAAGTTAAGATTTTTATAAAACAAAGTCAGTGTTTTTTTATTGTTTACTTGCGTTCATTTCTCTTTTCCGATCTTCGATTGGCTATCTCATTTTTTTTAAGGAAAACGTTTTTACCCTTGCTATAAGCAATTGTTTTGCAATAATCGGGTACAAAATTTTTTCCCGTAAATAACTTTGTTTACAGGACTCATCTCCTGGTGTGGTGTATTATGAATTCAATTTTCTTAGTTTCTCCTGCACACGGCCTGGAGGCAACGATTACAACTGGGATGGCAAAAGTTCTGTGTTTCAATCTGATCAGGAGCTATTTTCATTGAAACGGAAAATATTTTGTTTCAAATTTATTTGTCGAGCTACTAATTGTCTGCTTTTGTTTTGTCGGCTTAGTTTCCACATCTAAGGGTCTTTTTTGCTGCATACAGTTTTCATTGTAGTTGCTTTTAGTTTTAAGCATTTCAAATATCCGGCCCAATCGAAATTTGTTTTTATATTGTTTGTTATTTTGCCAAGTCTATTTGATAAAATATCGTTTTCTTTTTGTCTTTTCTTCAGCTTGAAAGTTTTCGACTTACTTGATATCGACTTAGCCTCTTTCGACGTTTGATGATCGAAAAAAGTTTTTGTGTGCGTATGTGTTGTAGGGGAAGGGGGACTTTTTTGTTTGCTTAGAATTTTTTGACTTTTCTTCTGTCATGAAGGGTTTCTGCTCGGGTTTTTACCTCTTGTTAAGTTTTGCTCCGATCCCAATTTTGGTTTCTATTAGGACAGTACACGATTTTTTCCAATAAGATTTTGCCCAACAATTTTGGTTGATTTTCAGCTGATTGGATGTCGGCTTTAAATATGTCGGCCTCATATTTTATTTCCTACAATTTTCCGATATTATTTATGAAATCGTTAAAAGTTAAAACCCTTCCTAAAATTTTTCAATGCTCAAAATCAATCCCACTCGGAACTGTTTAAAAAACTTAAATAAATTTCTGTTTTTTTTTGTTTTTTTTTTTAATTTGAAGTCCGTTGTTCGAAATCTTCTTAGATAGTTCAAGAGCGTCTTGCTGTTTTGTCCCTGTACTTGTTGTATCGCAAGGGGTACGAAGCTCAGCTTCTCAGTGTAAAGTTTGTCTGAAGTTAAAAAACGTCTCAAGTTTAATCAAATTCATTTGCTGAATGGAAGGTAAATGGCACTGTCCAATATGAAAAGCGCAAATGGCGCAAAAATTGTAAGTTAATTTAGTTTCGAAAATGAACCTAAATTTTCAGAAACAAAGCTAACAATTTTTCATTTTCATTGAGCTCAGCGGAACTTTTTCAACTGTTTATCACCTATGTTTCTGCTCAATTAATTTTCTTTAAAAAACGTAAGATTCGCTGTGTTCTGAGTTCGTTAACACAGTTTCAACGAGCCTTTGGCATGTTCGTTTTTCCTTGAGTTGTGTTTTCGTGAACTAACCAAAAAGACCCTTCTATTCTATTCATGTTTTTCTCCTCATCGGCTGAGGATCAGATCTATCTCTACCGCACTCGCACAAATACTGTTCCTCAAACATAAATATTAATTGCAACTAAAAAGCGTTCAAGTGTTGTAGAAAAACTGGCTTAGCTTAGCAATTGTTGGTTTTGGGTTAACAACAACAGGTCGGTTTTGTTTCAGTCTTGCGATGAGGTAATAAAAACTTCATATCTGTCAGTTAACCAAGAAGAGACACCCTTGTTTGTTTCATCGTGCAAGTTCTCAACTTAACATTTATTTATGTCGCTGCAAATCCTGAGAACTCATTGAGTGTCAATGAACAGAAGCCTTTCTATCTAAAATATCTGTTCTTTATTTAGCGGTTGCCCTTTATTTGAGTTCTTTCCGTTTAATTGTTGAGCATAATGAAGAATTTTTAGTATAAATATATCCGGGCTTTATCTCTCGAGTATCGGTTAATTAACTCTCAATTTTTTTTCACAATGCTTAAACCACCACGTCATGTTTTTCGAAGTTTCATAGCACATCGATTTTTCATCCAGCTTTGAGGTCACACTTACTCATTGTTTTTTTTGCCCAAGCAAACGCTTGTGTTATGGTATAAAATCCTTTTTCCAATCGAAGCTTCACAAATGTGTGTAGAAATTTTTTGTGTTCAAGAATATCTGTAATGTGTAGCATGTTTTTTATCCGCTTGATTGAAGCGCAATCATTGCTGCCTTGAATTTATGTATTAATTTTAAAAGTTAGTTATCTATAAAATATGAATTTTGAATAATTTAAATATCATTTCCTTTTTCTCCATAGGATAGCATTTTTTGTACTGTTACTCAACTTAATTAAGATTTTTAAGCTTTTCCTCAAAATGTTGCTGTTAATTAAATCAATTTAGATTTTCTGAAAGTCGTGTTTTGTCTCACCTAAATTGATTGTACGGTTGATCCAACTGTTGAGGACTACAGAAAGGAAGGTGAGCTAGTGAACAAAGAAGATTAGTTATCTGGTGCTCTATTGTTTGATTGCAATAATTAGCTTTAAAAAAATTTCAAAGTTTATCAAGAGTCTATGAACGTAATTTTTTTTTCACGAAAAGTGCTTCAAAATGCTCTAATAACAAAGAAGTGCTTCATAATTTTAAATACACATATGAATGACCTGGGTCTAGGACTAAATCCCCCAGGATAAAATCCCCCAGGATAAAATCCCACCGGATATAATCCCCCAGGACTAAATCCCCCGTAGGACCAAATCCCCCTAGGACAAAATCCCCCAGTTTCTAGTTTAAAATCCCCCACATTCGAATTCAACAAAACAGCGACACTAAAACTTGAATTAAAAGATGAAAGATAATTAACAGAAAAAAAGTAGATAGATTAAAGACTAAAAACTAAAAGGACAAGTTAACAGCTATGGCTTTAAGATAATCCAACTCCTTGTAGTTAGCGGCAGAGCATACAATTCTCTTTATCCTCCCAAAATTATCCTCTTTCCTTGTATGGACTTTCTTGCCGAGCTGCATTTGAGCAAAACTGAACGATTGCAGTGATTGCTGCCTCTGAATTGCCTCAATGAACTTCCAAATGTCAGGATTTGACATTTGGAGCATAGATTCGAATCCACGGTGGAATCCTTCAAGGGCATTGTTTGTTCTGGGGAGGTCGTCAATGGTCCTGAAGTAAACGTTCCACATATCCATGTCGAATCGCGATTTAACAGACCTTTACATTGATTGCACAAAATGTCATATTTGGGATTCGAACTCACGCTAAGGAATCGACATTGTTTTCCATTCACTTGTCGTACTGACTGTGCCACGTGGCTTATTAATTTTTGCAATCGAAGCTCATTCTTATAGGAAGTCAACTGAATGCTGGAATCTTAAAGTTGCTAAAAAGTCACGTCAAAATGGCGATGCATGTATAAATGGAAGTCAGTTCAAAATGGAATCAATAGAAACATGAAATTATATAATGTGTACAGTTTGATTTCCATTATAGTGAATAAAATATGGGGGATTTTGTCCTAGGGGGATTCGGTCCTATGGGGGATTTAGTCCTGTGGCATTATATCCGGTGGGATTTTATCCTGGGGGATTTTATCCTGGGGATTTAGTCCGCGAGCGGAATGACCTAACGTATATGTGCCCTTTCTGAGTTCAGTTCAACTTCATTTGATAGAAAGTAGACAAAATGCACTATCCAATTATGAAAGCTAAAATGGCACGTGAAAAACGAATTTAATTTTTAGATTTCCCAGCGGAATAAAAACTTACATAATGGTCCAGTTTTCTCAAATTGGGTTAGTTTCATCATAACAGTGCCCATCTAAATTGCTCTTAAAACTCAAGGCAAAGAGTTTTAACGCCATACATTTTTATTTGAAATTCAAAAGTTGAAAATTTTTAAAACAAGTTTTTTTTGCTGTTTCTTTCTATCATTGAATTTTTTCCAATTGTCTGTTAGCTGTTTTTATTGCCAGACTCTTTTTATTTTAAGGCTCCTTTTTGCCATTTTTGCTTACGTTTGCGCTGTACAGCTAGACTCTTTGTTTACGTTACTATTAGTCAATTGTTCACTTGTTTGCTAGAAATATCTGCATGCGAAAATTTTATCTTGTTAATTGTGTCAATCTTATTATATAACAACCAAAAATCTTTAATTAATGCAAGGAATGTCTGAAGTTTTCTAGTCGTAGCCCTCCTAATTCGGCTCGATAGCCAAAAGTTTGAATTTGTTTTCTTTGCTGCTTTTAATTACTTCCTAAATCCTCCCTGACACCAATGGAGCTGGATGGAGGCTAGTTGTACATTAGGCACCCCCTTGAGCTCATACCGCAGTACACTTTCACGACATCCATTATTGGCCGACCGACCCTTAATTTTATCTCAAGAAGCATTAGAATACTAATTTTAAGGAGGCGCCTACAAAAAAAACGATTTAATGTAAAACATGTCGACAAAATAGCGCTTTTATGATGTATTGAGAGAGCTCAAAAATTCAATTTAGTCGGCCTACAAAAACTCAACAAGATTCTTTTGAAAATCCGTTTACCCCATTCTCGATAAAATCCTACAACAGTGCTCTGTTTGACTCTTTCGTATTTGCTTTTAATAAAATCGCCCGAAAAGCTCAGTTTTCATGTAAATTTATGTGCGGTTGTCTTAAGATTTTTTGAATAGAAATTGAGTAGTCGGTATGTTAGTATAATCATTTTGCAATTTGTTGTCATGATAACTGTTAACTTCGATTTTACCATATCCATCCAACATCCCTTTTTACATTCTCTGGCTTCGAATTTACAAAAAAAAGTCTAGATAAAAATTTTACTACTTAGAAATGCGCAAAATACCGTCAAAGCCAGATAAGTTGAATGATTTAATAGAAAATAGGAGTTCGTTGAGCAGCGTGGTAAGAATAGTTACAAAATATGGCTTGAAAGTGATATAATTTGGAGAATATTCAATTGAATAGTTTTAAAGTGATATAATTTGGAGAATATTCAATTGAATAAAATGTGAATTGATAATTTTGCGCTAAATTAGTTATATTGTTCTGAAACTATCAATATAATTGATTTTTGCTATAATTTTATATTTTTTCTGTTCCCCTTCTTAATTGCCAGTTAAGCAATTGTCTGTTGACAAAACCGCGAATTCTTCCTGCAAAGGCCAATATGAACTTTACATGTTTTATGAGTTTCTCCAAAGGACTTTGTGTTGCTGTGTTTTTCAGGCGAAAAGTTTTTCAATCGAATTGGCTGTATGTTGATTTGATGAGCAGCTTTTTTTCTTCCAATTATTTAGCATCTTGCGGTTCGAAAGTCATTATGATAACCTCTAGATGTCTTGTATGTTTTCACAGGAGCAAAAGCTGCATGAGACGTTCACTTATGACGTGAGTGTTGAGTTATTCGGACTGGGCGTGTCTCTTGTGAACAACACAGTGACGAAAGAACTGCCAAAGGAGATCCTGTACATGGGCGTCACTCCCACAGACGTTGCCTGGTTCTACTGGGGAAAGGGCAAGAGGCACTGGACCTCGTTCACTCTCAATTCCACGCTGAAGATAGAGGAGGCATACCAGAGCTACCTGGACCAGGTCAGGACCAACGCCGACACTGCCACACATCAGGTTTGCATTTATATTTTGTGAATGTGCTCATGCCATATGGGTCATATTGCAGAAAACCTCTAACAAATCAAAAGCTTCGAACTCTTTTACATTTTGACTTCTGATTTTTTATTAGCCAATATAAGTTTCTTTTCTCATTCTTTCTTTTTATTATTTGGTATTCCTCTATCGGTGAAAAAATTTGTACTGAACACATCCCCATAGGGGTGGAAAGGAGTTTTGGGCGAGGATGTTTTTTTTTGCAAAAGAATTACCTCAAAGAACGCTAGTATGGTTTAGATTATGATATCTTATGAAGCTTTTTAGTCGTGATGCAGATTCTGAAAAATATTTTGATTTTCAGATCTTAATTTTCGATTTTCAGATTTTAACTTAGCGAGCAGCGAATTAAACTCGTCTCCTTTAACGCGACCGACGGTGTACACAAGCAAAAGCAAGCACTGTCATACTATGAGTTTTTCCACGTTTTTGTCTTCATTTTCTGTGCCTTATATTACAGTAGATGCGTTTAACACACGCTGAAATTCAATCGATGCTGAGGATGTTAGTGCAGGGTATTTTAATTGTTCCGTTTTTCGAAAACATCAGCAGAGTACACTTTGTTTTGCCTGTTTAGAACTCTGTGTAACTCTGTGGGGCGGATTTTCAAAAAATTTTCGAAAATTTTGACGACTTTTTTTTTTAGGTCGGCCAAATTGATTTTCTGAGCTCTCCTAAAGAACTGAAAAGACGCTGTTTTGGCCGAATTTTCTGAGCCGCAGGCAAATTTTTGAAAAATCAGGTCAAAAAAGCCGTTTTTGGGCACTTTTTGGAAAATTTTCAGAAAAAAAATCGCGTTTTTTTGGCGCGCGCTCCCCCTCAAAGTTAGTATATAGAAAAATTTTAGGGTCCGTCAACAAAATGGATTTCTTAAAAAGTACCCAAGGGGGGACCCTTTGGGTCGGCAGGGGGTCGAAATTATTTAAAGGACATTTTATTCTGCGGAGTAATCATTGCATGTCATTGTATTTTTTTTCTAATTTTACGAAATCATTTCACGTCATTTTTGTTTTATAAATTGTATTGGCAATAAAGTTCGAAAAATGTTGTGCTCCTCGCTCGATAACCGGCTAGCCTTGTTGTTCTTACCATTGCAAGAGATGTGAAGGAACTATGTCAAGTGGTATTGTTTGAAATCCTTGGTCTTGATTGAAATTCCAATTAGATAAAGAGACGTTAAGAAAAACGGGTGTAAATTGTTAAGAAAAACGTGTCTAAACATAGATGACCTGAGGAGAGATTTACATGCTGAACTCTTTATGTAATTCTACTGCAATGTCTTCTTTATTTTATCTGTGATTTTACCTTAATTTTGCGGTTGTTTGAAATCTAATTCAAGCTTCCGTTGTAAAGATAACGAAAATTTTACAAACATTTTTGAGAGTCGATGAACGTAATTCAGACTCTTATATAGGTCGCCATGATTTTTTTCCGTTTTTTTCAGGGATTTGTTCAGGCTTAAAAAAGTCAAAAAAAGTGCCAGTCATAAATTGTTCTAGAAATTCAAAGAGCTTTAAGAAATGTTTTTTTTTTGAAATTCGAAAATTGCGTTCTTTGGCGTTTTCCAACCGTCTGTTGGCAATGTGTGTTACTATAACTTTACTTGTATTGATGTGTTCGTATTACCTCTAGAATACTTGCACAGCAAATGTCTATGCTTATTTGGGATAAAGATTGGCATTTAGTCTTTAACTTTGCGATAAGCAAGGGTATTGCAACCGGGTACAAGAAGTTTTAACCCTAAATAACCTTGTTCACAGAAAAGTCAATTTAGTAATTAGCCATGTCTAAATGCCTTTTAATGTACCACCTATATCTTACATGTTGTACTTATTTAGGGATCGTAATTGATTTTTAAGTGGTTCATGCAAGTCTTGTGATTGTTTTTTTTTTTCGAAAAAGTTTCGGATTATTTTCGCAAGCGTTAGCGAATCGGAATATAGTTTTTTTTCGGTTCAGAAACGAGTTTTAGAGAATCACTTTGAAATCTAAAGTCAGGCGTCAATTCGTGCATGTGGCGAAGAGCTAACGCACCTGCCCAGAAGAAGAGAAATAAATGATTCGAATCAGGTCAGGACCTGTTTTTTTTGTTAACGGAAAATTGTCAGCGCGTCAAAAATGTTTGTCGACCTCTGTTTGTCTACTTGATTGTTGCCGGCTTAGTTGCCGCAGCGCCGAATTTGCATGAAATTTAAGCACCTTTTCTTAAATTGAAAATTGAATTTCCAAGAAGTTCTGCTGATTTTTTTGTGTTGTTTTTGAAATTTTTTTCATGTTTTTAAAAATTGTTGGAGGTTGTTTCAGTTCAAGGAGTGTTCTGTGCATTTGGTGTACAGTTGTAACACATGCTTGAGACGACAAATCCCGGTAGTTCGATTCAATTCGAGATCTAATTTTTTTGTGGAAATTTTTCGACTTTTAAAAACTTTCTTATCTGCTTTCTTTGAGTTTTTAGGTCTAGCAGATTTGAACCTAAACTTCAAACAAGGATAGTCAGTTACTGTGCAAGTAGCACAGATGTTCCGACCAGTCTTAAAAAATACAAAAATGTTTTCTCAAATTGGTGTCGTTTTTTTCTGCATGTTGTGAAAAAAAATCTGAACGAAATAATAGAACTTAAGCATATTTGAGAGTCATAGTCAAATAGGTCAAATGATAAACAGTTTTTGAAGAACATGGACTTAAAAAAACGAAAAAAAATGTAAAAAGTTACAAATTTTTTTGGGGAAATTTTTTGAATTTTCAAGTTTTTGATTCCCAAAATTGCGCTAAAAAACTCCAAAAACTACTTTACTTGAGTAAAACTCAGTTTTCACGGTTTATTTTAAGCTTTAATAAGCTATTGCAATTACTAACTACCTCACTAATTAGCTCGAAATAAGACCAAAAATCAAAAATTTTAAACTGGTTTTTCTCGACACCGTAAAATTTTTTTGAATTTTCTTAATTTCGTTCGAATCACGACTTAAAGGGCTTTAATATGAAATATCATTCAATCTTGTCCGACTATTGTTTGTGGTAGCTGATTTTGCATGGAAAACAAAAAGATGGAAAAAACTAAAACACACCCGAATTCAATGTTCCTCCCCATTTTCAATGGTCGGAACAATAACCTGGAATCATGCTGCGACTTGTGGAATACAATCAATCGTACAAAAGAAGAGCTAATTCAGTATGAAATTGAGTGACGATGCATACAAACATACATACATACATACATACATACATACAAACATACAAACATACATACATACATACATACATACATACATACATACATACTTACTTACATACATACATACATACATACATACATACATACATACCTACATACATACATACATACATACATACATACATACATACATAGAAACATACATACATACATTCATACATACATACATACATACATATATACCTACATACATACATACAAACATACATACATACGTACATACATACATACATACATACATACATACATACATACATACCTACATACATACATACATACATACATACAAACATACATACATACTGACGCTGAGTACCGTATTGAAAGTTGTTGATAAGGAAAAGTATTTTTGCAGGCACATTTTCAATTATTTCACACTCTTTAATGTTTTTTTTTGCTTTGTCAGGTGACAATCAACATAGGCGGTGGTTCCCACACATTTGACTTCTCCAAGAGTCCCATACAGCTGCTGAAGCCGGATAAGAGGAAGATCAAGAGGACCTACCTGCATGGCATATCCATCCAGTACCAACAGTCCCCCAACGTCACCCACTTCCACTTCAAGGTCAAATCAGAAATATTCGCTCATGTTTCAGCTCTTCGAGTTATGATTGTATTTACATATTAAAGATGCCAAATGAAATGATAGAAATGTGTCCCCGTGCTTGCATTTTTTTTTCAAAACGGCCGCAAAATGTATCAGTTAGTGCGATTTTGGCTTAAAACACTTTGGACCTGAAATGGCACTTTTTTATTCCTTTTTTGCCTTAAAATTTTAGCCTAACGGCTGAGGAACGAAAATTTCAGTGCGGCCAGGACAGGACTTGAGAAATATTTCATATTGTCCCCTGGTGATATTTTTCGGTTTTGTGTTTTCTCGTGTAGATGAACAGACTTCAAGTGGATGACCCCCTGCCCACATGCATGTTCCCAGTGGTGTTCGCCCCTGTGCCCCCTCCCCGCAGCATAGTGGGAGACAGGGAGCCAGCTGCATTCATCCAGGCATCCGTTGTCATGCAGAGGGGATCTGGACAGCTCCTTCTGTTCAAGTACTGCAAGGTGAGAAAAAGGCTTCGAATTTCAAGTATGCTCTTATGAAAAACAAAGTAGCAGAAGTATTTTTATCAGAGTTTCGTACTTTTTGGGTCAATAAAAGTTTTATGTAAGGAGTTCAAGTTTACAAGGGTTGTTGGATTAAGTTATGTTCCGCGATGATAAATTCTCAATTCATCCAAAAGTTCATATACTGGTCATATTTTAGTTAGTGGTATGATTGCAAAAATGCATTAAATGCAATAAAAAGGCTGTTATTTTTTTGCTTCATTTATGAGCTTTACATACCATAAATATACTGTTTTTTTTTTTCAGGTGCTCATCCAAGAATTTGCTGTGAAGATAGACACCACTTTCCTTGGAGCTCTGCAGATGTTCTTTAAGGGCAATCAGATCAAAACCAACGTGGTGAGAGCAGTCTTATTGTGCCACTAATTTGTAGTTTTCTGTTTTGATCTCGATCGTCTTATCAGCTTCACGAAGAAAATTGACTTCGAACTGTTTGTCGGACTGTTTAAGAATCGATGAACGTAGTTTTTCTCCAAAAGTAATTGGAAATAGTTCAATTATGAATCCAATCATTTTTTTAAAAAGGTTTCTTTTCATTGACATTTTTACAACTGTCTTTTCGCTTTTTTCTTCAAAAATTGGGCTATCCATTTTGTGAATTATTTGAAACAATTTTATGGGTGTTCGGTTTAGATGCTGGTTTTCTGCATAGATAAACCACAGTTTACATAACTTTAAACATCGCTGATTAGAAGTATCTTCTATTTACACTAGCTCGCAGCGTAGTGTATTAGTACGGATCTTCTTTTTTCTAGCCTAACTCGCAAATGAAAGTGTTCATAAAAAGTGTTCGCTTATTTGGTGGAAGTTTTGCTATAATCACGATCTGTAGCATTGGAAATTTTATAGCCTTTGTTCTCTGCATAATTTGTGGCCAGGGTTTGTGATTTATTAAGCGTCCGTGGCGCGTGAGACTCATAATGTCTACGTCGCGATCGGTCGGAGTTTGAATTCGAGAAGTCTCGAATTTTTACTAGTTCTGGGCTTATTTCTACTTTTTCTTATTGCAATTTATATAGCTGCTCTTTGTCGTGTTCTCGGAAGTATTTGCGAAGAGAAGCTTCGCCTCTGTGTAGAACATTCGTGCGTCAATTAACTGGTCTAGTCACAAAGTCTTCATTTACCATAGCTAAACTTCTTAAGATCACAGTCAAACGTTTTTCGTCAATAAGCTTTTGAAGGGACGTGATGTGTACACGAAGGTGCATAGACATCTGATCTGTGTCCCCGACTAATTTACTTCAAAACACTTCTTCTGACATTTAGGTCCCAGTAAAAAAAATTAATACCAAATAATTGAACGTTTAATAGGAGACAAAATGTTGATGAAAAAAGAGTCAGTTAAAAAGATTTCTGGCCGGGTATCTGTTCCATCATGTCAAATTCAACAGACATAAGTTCAAATCTGAGCTGGGACCTAAATATCCAAAATTTTGTAATAATTTTGTAAATATAGCAAAAACGAAATAAGTTGTAAAAATTGGACCAAAAGAGAAGGTAGCGTGAAAAGATATTGCATGCATCATTTCTCGTTCAATTTGGAAATTGTCAAAGAAAAATTTTATCCAGGGATACCATGGCCATATAAAACATGAAACAGAATCAAATCTTTCAAAGTCGACGGTTTCTAGTTTTTAAGAGCAATGAACGTAGTGAAGACTCTTATATTAGTCTTACTGATTTTTTTCACGCTCAGTTTTGATTTTTCGCGGTTTCACTTGTGATTTCTTTTTAAGTTCAGTGCATTTCTATTGTTAAAAGGAAGGCAAACTCCTCTATCGAACAGCAAAATTGTTAAGTTCTCGACTTCTAATTTTGGAAATGGAAATTAGTCAGGGGCGGATCTAGGATTTTCTCGAGGGGGGGGGGCGGATTTTCAAAAAATTTTCCAAAATTTTGACGACCTTTTTTTTTAGGTCAACCAAATTGATTTTTCGAGCTCTGCCAAAGCTCTGATTTGCCCCTATTTTGGCAAAATTTTGTGTGCCGCAGGCAAATTTTTGAAAAAAAAATCAAAAAAGCCGTTTTTGGGCACTTGAAAAAATTTTACGAAAAAATTGCGTTTTTTTTGGCGCGCGCTCCCGCTCAAAGTTAGTATATATTGGCGCCGAAGGCGCCTTTAGAAAAATTTTAGGGTCGGTCGGCCAAAAATGGATTTCTGAAAAAGTATCAAAGGGGGGACCCTTTGGGTCGGCAGGGGGTCGAATCCCTGAGGGGGGGGGGGGGGGGGCGTCCGCCCCCTCCCTAAATCCGCCCCTGAAATTATTTATCAGATTTTCCAGCGAAATAAAAGTTATACCTATTGATCCAGTTTTCTCAAACTGGGTTAGTTTTAACAAAAAAGTGTCCTTCAGAAATTGTTCTATAAATTTAAAAAGCTGTAAGGCCATCTAATTTTTTTATTCGAAATTCAAAAAATGAAGATTTTGAAAAAACAAGTCTGTTTTTTTTTCAATTTCCATGCGTTCATTACTCTTTTCCAACTGTCAGTTGGCTATGTAGCTCGATTTGACCTACTTGACATGACGTATTTTTCTTCACTGATTGAGAAGCATAAGGCCTCAACAATACAATAACATTGTTTTCTGTCATTGGCGATTGCAACCGTTTTCTATCTCATTGCAATTATCGGATCAATCAATTACGTCTGAATGCTTTTTCTCCTTTAATTTTTAGTCTGCGTTGTCTGTGCGATCATAGGTGTTCTAGCTAAGGCCTTGCTGGCCATCAAACATTGAAGAATTACAGAACAAATGCTGTTATCCGATCTTTTTTCGTAAATGGGGCTTATTTTAAGGATACGGTAGCCATCTCATGCCCCGGTGAGGCTGCTGTATTTTGCGACAAAGTGGTCAAACAATTTCTAACTTTTTTTGTGTGGCAGAAAAGGTCACACTCGAAAACGAAAAGAAGATTAAGTGAATGATATAAATGGTTTACAAGTGCTTGCAACACCCCCTTTGTGAAAACCAAAAAGTTAAGATTCTCACAACACGTATCATCAGAAGGCCTGCATTCAAACCCATCATCAATTCGGCAGCTAGCTCGAAATTTTCAAAACGAACTGTCCAGCATATAATTTATTTTCGTCTTCTGTGCTTTCAAGATGGTCGCATAAGATCTGTTCAAGCTCAAAAATTGATTAACTATTTTAAATGTATTCATTTCAAGTTAGTTTTTTATTTAAAATATTATTGGTTATCGAACTGTAAGTGTTCTTTGCTTTCATTTGTTATTGTTCATGGCTGCTATCTTAATTGCTGCTCTGAAGTTAGTAAACGATGGTCGCCTAAGATCTTTTTCATACTTAAGTGCGTGTTTGTATTCATTACTAGATTTTGGGTGTTTTGTGGTCTTTCCCGCCCGGCTGATCGATTTTTTGTTTTAAATCTGCATAGTTGTGAAAGATCATTTTTTCTTCAGAGCAGAAGGTTTTTTGTGTTGAAGTCTGTTACTTATTCCTCCTAAAAAAAGTATGCACTTATGGCCGCTTCAGGCTTGTGCGAAAATCTTTGCTCTAAATAATCGTAAAACAAATAAACACTGGCACTGAATGTCAGAAGAAAAACGGAAAAGGAAAATTTCAAAAGAAATTAAAGTCGAAAACAAGAAAATGACATTAAGCAACTCATGGTGGTGATGATGATGATGGTTTTGATGGTTTTGATGATTTTGATGATGTTGATGATGATGATGGTGATGATGTAGGCTTCCGTCTAACTAGATCCAAAGCACATGCAGCTCAATAAATAATCCGCATGCAAGAGGACATGACATCAATAAAGAAGAGAACGAAATAATGCACCAAGTTCTAGCCAAGACCCCAAACAATACTGCTAGGCCTCCAAAAGGCCTTAACCAAGAGTATCAAAACGGGCTCTATGTGAGATACTGCTACGGAAACGTTCTAAACTGTATTGTGGATCTCCACGAAACCAAAGCTTACACTGTGAAAGGGCCAGATGGCGATAGCGAGGAATGGATAGCTGAAAGGGGCTTGCGGGAAGGCTGCCCCACATCCCCGCATTTATTCAATATCTTTCACCAGGCAGTAATGAGAGAAGCAGAAAGAGAAAGGAAACTAGCTGGAAAACCAAAAAGACTACAAGTCGGGACAAGGTGGAACTGGATCCCAGGAAGCAGATTTCCTCGAAACGAACAGGATGGCAAATATAATTGTGAAACCAGAGTGGAGTGGAGACGTATACTTTATCCTTATTTGAAGATGATACCACCATCTTAGGTACTGCTATCAAGCTTATGAAACTATCTAAATTGTCATGGAAAGATTCGAACAAAAGAGCAAATCATTCAAAGAAGAACACCTGACCTTTGGAACCTCTGAAGCAACAAACATTGTTGATGTCCAAAACATAATAAAACGGGCAGGCGCCCTATGGGCCAAATTAAGACCAAGACTATACCAAGGTCCCTCCAAAATTTGGGGCACATAACGAGGATTGACAATAGAAGACCGACTAAATTGGCTATATTAGGATGGCACCCACTTCTGGAAGCAATTGTAAACCAAAAAACAAGAAGTCGAAAAACAGTTCAGTACTATAGAAAAATTATCAACGAAGCAGGCCTAGACCCGTCAGACATGGAAAGACTTACCACGTATAGCAAAGATTGGAGAATTGTAAAATCAAGAATGGATCACGTAGTCGACTGGGAAGAACGAAAGAGGAACCATGAAGAGCCAGATCAGAGACCAATAGAAGAAATCAAGGGCTGGGAAGAAATTCCTAGTGCACGGAATGCGGGGAAAGTATGTCTATCGGCTGGTGGACTGGTAATCCACCAAAAAAGGATCCACAGGCCAGAAGCAGAGACAAAAAATTCCACTGCGTCAAATCCAAAAGAGAATTCAAAGCCGAAAATGCGAAACTCAACCACCATGAAAAGTGCTGCGGCGGAGAAAACCAAAGAACAAAAGGAAAAGAATGCAGCCTATGTGAAAAAAGCAAATTAAGTTCAAACTTCGCTAGACACAAGAATATGCAAGCCAGAGGAAATGATCGTACTTTCTGCTAAAGTGGCGAGGAAGTACGTATGCCACAAATGTGCAAAAACAATTTCAGCTACCAATATGGCCAGACATAATTCGTTGCTGATGTTGATGTATGACGTTATATCGTAGTTTTCTTCCTCAATCATATGGCCAATCTAGAACCTTCTCCTTCGCTTTATTTGAAGATTCAGCGGTTCATGATTGCTGCGCTTCCAGAGCTCAACTTTTGATTCTTAGAGACTTTGTTAATTCGATCTCAAGAACTATAAATGATGGCAACTGGTCCTCCAGTCATGCCGACCTTTGACTTATCTTATACATTAAATGAAAGTCGCAAGATGCTATGAATGCAATGCTTAACTGAACGCAACTTTTTCGTTTTTTCGAGCTCAATGTCTAATGAAATTCTCTTGGCTGAACGCTTAAGAAAATGCCAAGAATGTTCAAGATTTTGAAATCGCTTTAATATCTTGCTTGAACAACTTGAAATTTTTTGCGAAGCAATCCAAGCTGTGTAAAGTTTTTTGAAAACTTGAAATTCGATCAATTTCATAGCTCGATTGAACAACTTCGTGTGTTTTGCTATGATTTCCAAGATATCTAAAATTTCATCGCTTGAACAACTTCCTTTAAAAACCATGAACAAATCGCCCAACGATTCTCTCTATGAGTTGACTTAAAATACTTCGTAGCATTATCTCTTTGATAGCTTGCTTAGCAAACCCTATGAAATAAGTGAAATTTTTCGAAGCTTTTTTGCTTTCATAGCTTGCTTTAAAAAGCTTGAATTTTCTGCAAACTGTTTCTTTCTTTTAAAAAACGTGAAATTTTTTTCAAACTTTCATCATTTCTTTAGTTTTCTTGAATAATTTCATTTTTTTTGTTATGCAATCGAAGCCATAAATTACAACTTCAAAATATTTCAATTTTTCATGGCTTTATTCGCTTGCTTCGAAAAAAACTTCTACTTTTCGCGAAACGATTCGTTCTATGATAAATTCAAAGTTTCGTCAGTTTAATAGCTTTCTTGAATAACTTTAACTTTTTTGTTATGCACTCGAAGCTATACTATGCAGTCGAAGCTATGTTATGCAATCGAAGCTATGTTGTGCAATAGAAAAACTGAATTTTCTGCGAACCGATTAGAAAAATAGCATGATTAGAAATTTAGCAACCGATTAGATTTATCACTTCAATAGCTTTGTTGAATAAATTCATTCTTCATTTTTTGTTATGCAATCGAAACTGTGAAAACACTTAAAATTTTCAGTTTTTTTTTGCTCTACTAGCTTGCTTAAAAAAGCTTCTTCTTTTCGCGAGCCGAGTTGCTCTATGAACTAATTTTAATCTTTGCAAAGAAAGACTTTAACTTATCGTGAACCGCTTCGCTATATGAAACTACTTGAACTGTTTCAAATTTTCAGCGTTTATTTAGCTTGCTGAGAAAAACATTCAGTTTTCACGAATCGATTCCCTCTGTGAAAACACATGTTTCAAAGTTTCAGTATTTCATCAGCTTGCTCAAAAAGTTTATTTTTTTTTGCAAACCGATTCGCCTAATGAAATAACTTGAATATAATAACTTGAAGTTTTTGAATATAATTGCCTTAATTGCTTGCTGAAAAAATGCTTGCGAATCGATTCACTTTGATTACTTAATTTTTCAATTTTCATCACTCGAATAATTTTCCAAGTTTCATCGCTTGCTGAGGAAAACTTTAATTTTATGCAATTTGTAAGTTTGTAATTGATTTGAGTCTTGTTTTATATTTTGTGTCATATATTTATCAACGGAATTTCGATCTCATTGTGTGACCATTGTGTAATTTGCTTTATCGAACTCGATATAAGAAAAAAATTTTCAAATTAGTCAGTGTGTTATAAAGTGTGCTAATATTCGGGCAATTTGTCAGGGAATCAAATGTTTTTCTACCCTGTCTGGGTTATTTGTTTTTTTTGGCAGTTTTGTTCGGGGCATAAATGTCTGGGACACACATTTCCAGACACGGTACGCAAAGCGTATTTTGATTTGTATATATGCCAAGCTTCTATGTGTCAAGTTAACATCATCTCTGAGCTATTTATGGGGCATGCTTGGAGCTTTTTGTGTGTTTTAGAAGCAGTATTTGGAGATGGACGTGGACTTGGCCCACACTCAGTTGGCGGACACGGAGGCAGTGCAGATTGCCAGGGGCACTCAGAGACACTACTATCAGGACCTCAATTTGGGTCCCATCAAGGTAACCGCAGTCACGCCCACCTGTAAAGCACTGTTTTTCACAACCCAGTTTAGTGTATTACAGTGACGATTAAGAGTCGATGAATTTAGTTCAGGCTCTTATATAGATTGTGAAGATTTTATTTGTATTATTTTTCCCGTTTTCTTTTCACGAAAACTGCTGTAAAATGCTCTGTTAACAAAAGAAGTGCTTATAATTATAAAAGCACATATGAATACCCTTAGGTATATGTGCACTGGGGACCGACCTTTTACCAGACCGACCTTTTACCAGAAAAGTTATAAAATGGACCTTTTACCAGACTCGATAAACAAATTTGATTGACAGATGTATTGACGTTTGTTCTAACCGCTTTCTATTTGAATCTTCCACTAACTTAAATTTATCTTAATTGAATTAATACATTGTGGTCTGGTAAAACGTAAAAGGTCGGTCTGGTAAAAAGCCTAGCCCCATGTGCACTTTTTGAGTTCAATTCAAGTTCATTTGATATAAGGTAGGCAAAGTGCACTCTCAAAATATGAAAGCTGAGATGGCGCGAAACAACGTAATCGATTTCTAGTTTCGAAAGTGGAATATAATTTTTAGATTTCCCAGCGGAATAAAAACTTTTCAGACTAATTCAGTTTTCTTACATTGGGTTAATTTTATCAAAACTGCCAATTATAAATTGCTCATGAAATTGAAAGAGCTTTAAGGCCATCTATTTTTTGAAATTCGAAAGTTGAAGTATTTTCAAAAAACTAGTTATTTTTTCTGTTTCTATGCGTTTATTGACTCTTTTACAACTGTCTGCTGGCTATGTGTGCAAGAGCAAGGCTGTTAGCAAAATTCAAAGAGGTTAAGTTAAGATTAATTGTAATATATTTCTTAACCCCAGCCTCATTTGTTAAACTTGGTATATAAAAATTAAATAAGAAAAGAATTGTCACCACGCGGGCTCGAACCGCGGACCTTGTGCGTGTGAGGCACACGTGATAACCACTACACCATGGTGACATACCAGAGATTGTAAAGTCAAAGTATATAATCTCAGCTAGAATGAGCGTCCATTACAGATGCTTCTGAGTCTTTCGCTTGCGCGTGGAGAAAATGACACGGCGCTGCTGCCGATTGACAATTCCTTCCTAGACGGATTGACACAGACTTTGGGTGTGGTATTGACAGAGCAGCATGACACGTGCATTAAGTTGTCCTATTTCGAGAGGAAGAATCGATTCATGACAGTGAAACAATTGACGAATCAGGCCCAGAAGTTCTACACTAATCAGGTACACATATTGAATATGGGGGTGGCCAGTCAAAGCTGAATGATCGGGTCTTTTGCACTAAACGGCCCAAAATCAAATTTTCTACATCGTAAGCTGGAAATTATGCGATCGAATTTGATTGGGTAATTTTAGCCAATCAAATTCAAGTTAGACGGTCAGGCATTCTGATCAACGGTACTACTATGATAGAGTGGTCCCTTGAAAATAACCAGGTCCCTTGAGAATTAGACACGTAGAGCTCTCAAATCGGTTAACATAATGATTTTGTCATTCAGAAAATTGTCGCAGGATTTTTTCAAACCAGTTTTATGTTTTGTTACTTCTCAAAACCTCTCACTCAGCATTTCAAGGTTGAAAATTGAAAAACAAACGTCAATAGTGGGTTTTGATGACAAATAAGTCAACCGAATTATGGCTGTTAAACCGTAATTTAAAGTGAAACGAGCAAATTTCAATGTATAAACAATGTAGTAATTACAATTTTTAATCTGAAAAATTATTGACTCAACATATTTGCGAGATTTTTGAAATGAATAATTTATACACAAATTAGTTTTCAAAATTAAAACATGCGCAATGCATGCGGGACCTGTCTATCATAGTTGCTTTTTCGAGGGAGCACTCTATCATAGTAGTACCCGATCAACCTTTTCAGCTGATAAAAATATTAGCCGAAATTTCCGAAAAGATGGAACTTTTAAAATAATCAAATTAATTTTGAGTTTCTTGTGAAACCTTGCCCAGACAAGAAAAGCTTTAAAAAATGGCTTGACAGAACAAAAATTCAATTTTTTTTATCGTTTCGGCTAATAATTTTATCTGCTTGAAATGACAGAATTATTTCATTTGAAATGGCAGAAAATGTCGATGGAACTTGATTGGCTAATTAGCCAATCAAATTCAACCACATAAGTTTCAGTTCAAGAGATGTAGAAATAATGATTTTGGGCCGTTGAGTGCATAAGACCCGAATGATCGGTGGGTATTCACAAGTACCAAAATGATAAATCAGTCACATTTGTACCAAAATAAAAAATCAATTGCGTTAGTACCAAAAATATTCAATTGGCCTAAGACTATTAAGCCGACTACTTTAAGCTCTTGGTTTAAGGTCGCCGGTGGGCGCGCTACGCGCGCGTCGCCGATTTGCGGCGATAACCGGCTCTAATTTTCGTATAGAGTCCTACCCTCTGTTGGCAAGCTCGCAACACGTTGGCGCGACTGCGGCGGTCACTATTCTGCTGTTTAGTTTTCTTCTGTTTGAACAGTAGAAAATTAATGTAATAATTCGTTGGCTCACAATTCGACCAATCAGAAATCGAATTGAATAATTTTGGTACAAATGGGACCGATTTTTCATTTTGGTACAAATGACCGTTGGTACAAATGGGACGTCACCGAATGATCTAAGAGCAGAATGGGTCCAAGAGCAGAAAAACAGAAAAATATCAAATTTTATAATCTAATCGGTAAATTAGGCATAAGAATTTTCGGGGCAGTACAACAGTGCCGAAGTACAACAGTGCCGAAGTACAACAGTGCCGAAAAAAAAAATTAGTTCAACAGTGCCGAAAATGGAAACTCTGTTCAACAGTGCCAAAAATATGAACAAATTTTAACATATAAAGTGCGGCGATCAAAAATTAAACGGCAAAAGTTTACAATCTTAAGTGGAACTTAAAGATTTTGGGAGAGAACATTTGCAATTTAGAGGTTTTGGCGCCAAAATAATTGTTTAATTTGCAGTTGCAGACATTTTGGCGCCGAAATTGGAGTGACTTTTTTGATAATTAGCGTCAGTAATTTCTCGCTCTTTAGAAATTGAGTCAAAATTATTCTGAAATTTTCCCGCTTTTTTCGGCACTATTGAACGGGTGGGTATTCACAAGTACCAAAATGATTAATCAGTCCCATTTGTACCAAAATGAAAAATCAATCGCGTTAGTACCAAAAAATATTCAATTGGCCTAAGACTATTAACGTTGGCGCGACTGCGGCGGTCACTATTCTGCTGTTTGGTTTTCTTCCGTTTGAACAGTAGAAAATTAATGTAATAGTTCGTTGGCTCACAATTCGACCAATCAGAAATCGAGTTGAATAAGTTTGGTACAAATGGGACCGATTTTTCATTTTGGTACAAATGACCGTTGGTACAAATGGAACGTCACCGTTGAACGCCCCCGAACTTTCGGGTGTTATGCACTAAACGGTCCAAAATCAATATTGCTATATCTTGAGATGAAATTTTGCGCTCCAATCTGATTGGATAATTTTAGCCAGTCAAATGCAAGCAGCGCGGCCAGGCGTTTCAATCACCGTTTCAGCAGATAAAATTAGTAGCCGAAATCTTCATACTGAACTTGATCAAATAATCAAAAACATTTTAGGACACTTGTGAAACTATGTCCAGACAACAAAAGCTTAGAAAAATTACTTCAACGGAATACTTCTATATTTTCAATCAATTCTGGTAATAGTTTTATATGCGAGAGTTTTTGATTTGAAATGCCAGGCCATACTGTTTGAATATGATGGGCCAATTAGTCAATCATATTCAACAATATGAATTTCATTTCAAGATATAGAAATACTGATTTTGGGCCGTTTAGTGCATAAGACCCGAATTTTCAATATTACTGAAGAAGCAATAGTTTATTCATAATTTGAATAACTTAATCGAGATTTTTTTAAAAATTCAATTTGAAAAAACTTATTAAAAATTATTCAATTCATGCATATTTTATTCATTTTCTTGGTATTATTGATGATTATAATATTTCTTTTATCAATTAGTCCGTATAAATCATTAAAAATTAATATTTTTCCGTTTTTCTGCTCCTGCACCCATTCTGCTTTTCGCTCCGCCTCCGAATATGGGATTGATTAAACTATCGGAGTGCGGTCTGTATTTAGACAACCGCGTATTCAGACACTGTATTAACCAATCATAATCGAGACAAGGAAGAAATGAATTTGATATCTTCCTTTGTCTTGATTATGATTGGTTTATACAGTGTCTGTATACGCAGTTGTCTACATACATACATGTGTGCGGGTGCCGGACATCAAGCCAACGGGACTTCAAGCCGGATCGTAAAACTAGGGACTTCAAGCCGAAAATTTTCTCTCTGAGTCATGAAATATGATTAATTTCGAAAAATCTTTCAGCTATTTTGGTTAGTTAATTGTTCACTGGAATATTTAGCAATTGTTTGATAACATCTAATAGCGGGTGCCGGACATCAAGCCGAATCGTAAAATTAGGGACTTCAAGCCGAATATTTTCTTATAAACTTGTGAAATATGATTAATTTGAAAATTTTATTGAAGAATTTCGGAATTTCAGGATCTTTGTTCACTAGTTATTGGCGTTTTCATAAAATTCAATCCTCCAAATGATGTTTCGGAAAGTTGAAAAATAAAACACGGTTGAAGGTAATTTTCTTGTTTATAATTTATGCATTTCAAAAACCGGCTGATATTATTAACGGATGCCAATCCCAAGTGATTCATTGTCATAAATAACGCTTATTATGGAGTAAACTAGCCTACGATTTTGACAAGCAACATTTTACAGATGAAAAAATAATGATTTGAGGTGCTTGTAAAGTTTAATTTTCGGCCTAAAGTCTCTTCGGCTTGAAGTCCCGCCGGCTTGTTGTCCTAGACCCCATGTCTGCAGAAAAGAGAAACTGTTAAATAGGTTCTGTTTTGAAATAAAGATCTTTTCGTGGGGGTGTTCAACAGTGCCGAAGTACAGCAGTGCCGAAAATGAAAAAGTGTTCAACAGTGCCGAAAATTGATGATTTTTGGCACTATTGAACAATATTTTTGGGTCTTTTCGGTTATAACCCCTCTGAATGGAAATATTTGGCAATTCAAATTTCGAGTTGAAATTGGGGAGGGTTCTCATGCTGGAAGAACCGAATGCTGGAAAAATTTCAACCAATCAAAATTCGAACCGTTCCTATTGGCTAAATGCCTTTCTCACAAAATCGAAGTCAATATTAACAGTAAAATTCGAATTTTAAACAAAGCTCTGGTGATTTTTACTACTTTTATTTATAGGGGTGGCGATTCTTAAGTAGATACTAAAAGGAGGGCGATTGTTCAGAGATCATGTTAACATCCTCCTCCCCAAATAGACCAAGTTAAGATCCTCCACCCCAGCGTTCAATATAAATTAAATTTGCTAAGCGCTGCGTGTAAGCTCAATTCTGATTGGCTGAAAATTCCCACTTAGTACCACGTTAACATCCTCCCCCCTAAACGTGTTTGGGGGGATGTTAACTTGGTACTAAGTGGGAATTTTCAGCCAATCAGAATTGAGATTTTTACACGCAGCGCTTAGCAAGTTTAATTTACATTGAACGCTGGGGTGGAGGATCTTAACTTGGTCTATTTGGGGAGGAGGATGTCATTTTTCATAACAATCGAATAATGTGAACGAAATTTTGCAGGTGGAGGAAAAAGGAAAAATAGCCTCCATTTTTCGTAAATCGGTATCCTAGAAATATTTAAATTGTTCCAATCCGCCTTCGATCCGACATTAATTTCATTCATCTGCTTATTATATAATCGGTCAATATTAACTCTAATGGCCTGGTTTTATTTGCTTACTTTGAGATTTTTGTGATTTCCCTGAGATTTTTGAATACTCAATTCTGATTGGCTGAAAATAAGCCAATATAAATTTCAAGCATTCGGTCCCTCCAGCATGAGGGACGCCACCTTTTAAATTGAAGGCGCGAAAGCAAGTGAAACAAACAATTAGATACCACTCGCGTGCAATTAGCAGCTGCTCGATTAGGAAACAAAAGTACATGGCAACTTTATCGGTGAATTTTTATAGGTCCCAATATTCATAGTTCCCAAAATCAAAAATCAGTCGCATTACTGTTCAAGCAGCATAAACTCAAGCTGCAGAAAAGTGACTGCCGCAGCCGGGCCAATGTGTTGCAAGCTTGCCAACAGATAGTAGGACGCTATACGAAATTTAGAGCCGGTTATCGGCGCGAAGCAGCGACGTGCGCGTAGCGCGCCCGCCGGCGACCTTAAGCCGAGACTTGTCTTATTTAGTCTTTAGACCGATTGAAAAAAAATAGGACTATGCGATTGCTTTTTTATGTTGTGACCTATGGGACTGATGTTTCATTTTGGGACCTATGATTACGAACCAACTTATCACTAGGTTTCTTAATCGAGCAGCTGCTAATTGCACGCGAGTAGTATTTAATTGTTTGTTTCACTCGCTTTCAAGTTCAACTCGAAATTTGAATTGCCAAATTTATCCATTTAGGGAGGTATAACCGAAAAGACTGTTGAACACTTTTTCATTTTCGACACTGTTGAACACTTTTTCATTTTCGGCACTGTTGTACTTCGGCACTGTTGTACTGCCCCCGTCCGTAAGTGCGATCTGTATTTAGACGGGGCGGCTATTTTTGGCGAAAACTATTCTAGGCGAAAATAAAAGTGTTATATTAAACGAAAATTTTGTTTAAAGTACGCATAGCAGAAAATGTATGTGATTACTTATGACAGTCCTTTGCTAAATATAAAATACACGTAATTGAAACAGCAAATCAATGGTAAAATAGTGACCGCTGCAGTTGCGCCAACGTGTTGCGAGCCTGCCAACAGAGGGTGAGACGAAAATTAGAACCGGTTATCGCCGCGATGCTTCAACCGACAAACGGCTTTGTGGTCTTTAACAGCTTCTTGTCAATGTCGTCTAGAAATTAGGGGGAGTTTTGATAAAATATATTTTTAATCAAATTTTTCGCCTTAGTTTAACCTTTTCATATTCGCCTAATTAATACATGCTTGTGGAGGAAATTGTACGGTAGGTCACTTAAGGGGGGTTATTGAACGGTTGATCCGGCTTTTCATTTCTTATTTAGTTCAGTTCATTTATTTTGTTAAAAGGAAGGCAAACTCCACTACTGAACAGTGAAAGTGTAAAGGTCACGATGAACGTAATCGACTTCTAGTTTCGAAAATGGAATTTTATTTTCAGATTTCTTAGCGAAATAAAAAGAATTTTCCATTTAATCCACTTTTCTCAAATTGGATCATTTTTGATTGGATCAATGGGTCGAAAAAGTGCTAGTCATAACTTAGTCTAGAAATTCAAAGAAATTTATGAGCATTTTTTTCGCGCTTTAAGGGCAAAAATTCGAAAGATGAGATTTTTTCGGTATTTTTTAATTTTATTTGCGTTCATTGACTCTTTTGCAACTGTCTGGTGGCTATGTTTTTTTCCCACTCAAGATGTCTTAGAAGTGGAGTTGGTCTCAGATAGTTTTGCTTCGGTCGTACCTGTCGCGATTACTTTACTTTCGGTCGTGCCTGTTGAGGTTATTTTTTGTTGAGTCGCGGCCGTTGCGGTTAATTTTTCTTCGCTCGCGCTGACAAACTTTTCCTGGGCCGATTTCACATCATTTCTTCCTTGCAAATTGTTAGATGATCAATTTCTAGGAAGCTTAGTTTTGCAAATTTACGAGATAGTAAAAAATGAAAAAAAAATAATTTACCACAAATAGATAATAAGAAGTTTTATGATAAATTAACAAATTGTGTCGCTTTTTTTTCCAGCCCAATATTAACACTTCAACACTTGAGTCTCGAAATTAACAATTAGGTGATTGTTACAAGCCAATATGATTCAAGCTAAACTATATTCATCGTAATAAAAATAATTTGGTATTTTAATCCCGGTCCCAGGTGGTATTTTTATCATCAGACGGTCACGTCTGATTTTTGGTATTTTCAGACTGTCGCGATCAAAATTTGATATTTTTGAGCTTTACAGACTGAAGAAATGTGTCCGCATTTCCTCGATCAGTAAAGTTCAGAAGTATCAAATTTTGGTCGCGACAGTCCTGAAATACCAAAGTTCAATAGTGACCAGCTGATCATAAAAACACCACCTAGGACCGGGATTAAAAAGACCAAATTAGTTTATTATGATGAATATAATTTACCTTGAGTCATATTGGCTTGTAACATTCACCTAATTGTTAAGGCCGAGACTCAAGTGTTGAAGTACTAATATTGGGTTGGAAAAGTAAAAGGACACAATTTGTTAATTTATCTAAAATTTCGGATTATCTTTTTGTGGCAATTTTTTTTTTCAACTTTCATATCTCGTAACTTTGCAAAACTACGCGTCCTAAATTTTGATCATATAACAATTTGTTATGTTTTAATGCAAATTTAGAATACTTGAAACATTTTAAATGGGCTTTTGTTATCATTTTATCTGAAATTAGATAACAAAGCCCTTATAAAATTAGACATAACAAATTAGATAAAATTAGACATTTTATCTGAAATTAAGTTGTTTGTGCGAAAGAGCCGGGTATAGTATTACCAAAATTTCTGATTTGTGTTATGTGCGCATATAGATAGTGAAGCAGTTCTACTTCTTCTTTGCCAATCTGGATGCCCTGGGCAACCCACAGAAGCTTTTCCTCGGCATCAAAGAAGGCGGCACTGACCTCTTCTACGAACCATACCAGGTCGGTAAAATCAGCAGCAACTGCACTAGTAAAACTGCTACGCTATTCACTATACAGTATTGCCTTTTGAAGTAAACTAGCTTGAAAGTTGACCTCAAAAAATTTTTGCTAGAAATCAGGCAAGATTCAAAATAGTTGGGCTAATTGCTGAAATTTTTTTCGACATCAGTGATCAAATATAAGGCATGAAAGTTTTCAGTCTAGGGGGGTAATTTTAATGGTCAACTGTGGATTTTGAACGGTGTCGTCGACAAATTGTCGACTTTGAAGTTACCTGCTTTTTAATATTACGACTCTACAAGTAGTGAGTTGTATTTTTTAGGGTGCTATTCTGGGTCCTCAGGAGTTCGTGGAGGGACTGGGGATAGGGGTGAAGAGTCTGGGCAGCCATGCCATCGGGGGAGTGTTTGGGGTGGCCTCGAGTGTGACTGCATCTGCCGGACAGGCCATCGCATTCCTCTCGTTTGACGAGAAACACAAACAGGAGAGACGCAACGACATGCGCGACAAGCCACAACACGTCGGGCAGGTAACACAGATCATAGAGATGCTTTGGAGCATAAATTGTGTCTCAATGTGATGACAGTTTAATTAAAAAAGCAAAAAAAACTTCGCATGAGGGAGGAGGTATTGTGGCGCAATTACCATTGAATTGATAGTCAAGCTTGGCTTGCTTGAAATCATACAGTTGCCTATTCGAAGTTAGCATGTGTTAACAGTTTGCGAGGTGAGCTCTTGCAAGTAAGTTATAGCCTAGTAGAAGTTAAAAAAATAACCTTCTGGTTAAGCTTTTGGCTACTTAAAAACAATAATAACCCAAGTTGGCGCTAGAAATTTTGCCCCTTAGCCACTAAAAAAGTTTCCTCTTCCCTAAGGTTTCATGACATTGTCTTCAGAAGACTGCCATCGTGAAGCTGATATGAAATCAAATTCACGCATTTTAGCGCCGTTCCGAAAACGCGCTTTAGTACTATAAGTTTTAAAAGACATTCGGAAGACCGATTAGTTCGGCTTAAAACAAGTTCGATATCATCCCTTGCGCTGGTACCATTAAAGGTGTGTTTTGTTTTGTACAGGGACTGACGAAGGGCTTCAAGAGGTTCGGCAGTGGAGTGCTCAGTGGGGTCACGGGGGTCATCACCCAACCCATCCAGGGGGTGAAGAAGGACGGGGCCAAGGGACTGGTGACAGGCATAGGGAAGGGGGCAGCAGGACTGGTGGTGAAGCCAGTGGGCGGAGTTGTCGATCTGGCCAGCAACACCTTTGAGGGCATACGGGGGTAAATGTTCCGAATATTTCAGCAAAGCAATACACGGCCTCATAAGGTGTATATTGAAAAGCGTCAAATTGTTCAGAAACAGAGTTATTTATTAAACTGGTTTACCAGCAACCTTTGAAGAACATTTCTGAGACTTGTTTTCTTAAAACCTCCAAAGACGGAACTTACTATGTTTGGTGTTTGCGTAGATCGGCCGATGATGCGGTGATTGTCCACTTGTTGCGAACTCCGAGAGTGGTAAGAGCGGACTGTGTAGTGAGACCCTATGACTCATACGAGGCCAGAGGCAACGCAATTCTAGCTGCTCTGAGGGTTAACCAGAGGTACAACTCACACGCATTCACAAACAACAAGTCACTCAAGGGAGCAATCATCGTCACCAACAGGTCTGTGCAAATACCCCACCTCAAACCTTAAATAATAGTAATATATGGGTATGAGTGATAGCTATTCCTCTAGTTATAAGATCCTATAGGTAAAGTCAGGGGCGGATTTAGGGTGGGAGGCGGATGCCCTCCCCTCAGGGATTCAACCCCGTGCCGACCCTTTGTACTATTTTGAGATTTTCATTTTTGGTGACGGACCCTAAAAACTTTTTACAGACGCCTTCGGTGTCAGAATATACTATTTTTGAGGGAGGAGGGCGCGACGAAAAAAACACGATTTTTTGGTCAACATTTTCCAAAAAGTGCCTGAAAACGCCTTTTTGGTCTGTTTTTTTTTTCAAAGTTTTCTGCGCAGAAAATTTAGTCAGAACAGGGTCTTTTCAGTGCTTTGGGGAGAGCTCGGAAAATCAATTTGGTCGACTTAAAAGAAGAGACAAAATTTTCGAAAGTTCACCCCTCGAGAAAATTTTAGATCCGCGCATGTGTTTTTTACTGGTCCTAATTACATGATTGGTTGATTTGTTAGTTAAAAGTTCTGGGAAGATCTTGGGGGATTAAGCGATTCGCCTTTGGACATGACATGAATTGGTGACAAATTTTTGGGATTGGGGATCTAAAATATCATCCTTTTCCCCTTTCTCCCGGGAATAACCAATCCATTTCCCTTCCTCACTTTTAAAGCATCAATCCAGTGGTGAAGCATGCTCGAATAATGACATAGTAAGGAAAACATACTTCTTTCACAGATTTACTTTTGAGATAAACAATACATAATTTACTCTTCATTGTTTATTAGGGGAATAATCCACGCGGAGAAGCGTGCCCTGGTGACTGCATTCGAGAGATGGGAGGTGGTGTCCCAATACGCCTTTAAGGACATCCAGGACCTGCCAGAGAACAACCTGGACGACGACCAGTTCCGCCTCAAGCTCAACTCCGGAAACACAAAAGTGTTGTCCGTACAGCCTGCGAACAAAAAAGTGGGCTAGATTAATTAAAGACCCTAAAGCTTGAGTTAAAAACAAGTAAAACGTTGATACAAGTAAAATACACTCCATATTTCCTCAAATAGTTAAATCAAGGTATCTTTCATACTAAACAACGTTGTCGCAACTAGTTTGAGATTTTTGCCAAGATAATAAAAAGACTGCTCGTAAAATTTGGTGGCGATAAAAAATCAACCGAAGAAGTTGAAATGCGTGTTAATGCAAATTGTTTCGAGCTAATTTCATGAATTGTTGTTCTAGTTCCTGAGGGAAAGGACTCTGGAGGCTCATGAGGACTTTGTGAAGATGAGGGCTAGCTCAGACTAATTAACGAGCAGGTGATCGCAAATCGAATGAACAGATGTTCTTCTCAGTCAGTGCTACCTACTGAACGAAAAAACTGTCTATGAGTTTGGATCCTTCCAATTGAAAACACTATTCGCTTTTTCATCTAATATCGAAAAAATGATTCCGTTTCACAGCATAAACTGTCCGAAAATTACAAATCACTTGATTTAGTTTGAGATACTTAATTATTCTTCTGCCCAAAATTATTTATTTCATCCGTAGAGCAGAGCTTATTTGTTAATACTGATTTGGGTTTGAATTTAAAGGCTGTATTCTTGAATCCGTTATTTACAGTGAGTCTTGTTCTATAGATAGGTCTTGGTGTTTTTTTCAAGTAGAAGTTTAAAGTTTGTTCAAGCTCAATCTTGTTTTTTCGCGGTTTGATTTTTGATTTTTTTAAGCTCCGATCATTCAATTGCATTACTAAAATGAAGCAAAACTCCACTATCAAACAGCAAAAGCGTCAAGGTGACAAGAAACGTGGTCGATTTTTAGTTTCGAAATTGGATTTTAATAGTCAGCGGAAATAAAATTTTACCTATTGATCCAGTTTTCCCAACTTGGGTTTAATTTTTATCAAAAAAGCACCAATCATAAATTGTTCTTGATTTTCAAAGAGTATATAGTTTTTATTTTAAATTCGAAAGAAATTTTTTCAGAGGATTTACTATTGATTGTGTTTCTCTGCGTACATTATTCTTTTCCAACTGTCAGTTGGCTATGCTATTGATCTTTAGGAGCCTTTTTTGAAACTCAATATGATTTTGAATGAAACTACTTTTTGATTTCATTTCGAAGAAACTACCGAAATGAAAGTCCTCGGGCTGATAATCAGTAAAACATTGAGTTGAACGGAAACTGCAAAAAATCGATCTGCCAAAGCTTTAAAGGCGGAATACTCTGTTAAACTGAACGGTTAAAAAATAACGACACGATCAATGAAATTGAAAGCACATCAACGTATAGTTGCCCCGGTTGTAAGATACGGCTCAGTTCTTCGGAAACCCGCCAAGAACGATTTCAAAATCATCGAAAGCATACAGTGAAAAGCAACCACATGGTTCAAACACTCATCACAAGGAAACAATTAACGATATGCTCGATTAAAATTTCGTCCATTGTCACCTTCCACTACTATACAAAATTATTAATAAAAAACTAAATTTGAAATACAATATCATGGACTATGAAGAAATCAAAAACGTCCTTACGAATCTTTATTAGAGTTATTTTACGAAAAGTCCAATAAAAAAAACTGAATTATGAAGGATTGAATGCAGCTGCACAAACTTAAAAACTTGAGAAATATAAACTTTTGGTTTGATCGATTAAGTACAGGGACTTACCACCCCTGGATATGGTCCAAATTCGTTTTTTATCATATTAATTATGGTTGTGTATTTTTAAAACTATTATCAGGAGTCGATAAATGCAATTCAGACTCTTATATCAGCCGCGATGATTTGTTTAATTTTTTTTCAGTGAAAGTATTTAAACTTGCGATTTGCAGGCGGTAACAAATCGTACCAAACGCTTCTTTCGGATGGGTTTATATAATCAGTTGAATCAATCGGCATCTTGGTTCATAATGATTTCAAATTTCTAAGCGTCTTCGGTACCTTTAGTCTGGAGGTAACGAGTATGCCTGGGACGCCAAATCGCCGGGGTACGAATCTGGCAGAACCTGTTTTTTCACACGTTAAATAATCATTGAAAAAAATTGTCGGATTCTTATTGTGTGCATATGCTTTGTCGGCTTAGTTGCCATGCTGTAGAATTGCTTTTTAAATTTTTTTTATAGTTTATTTCAGACTTCTGATTTACCTGTTTTGATTGCTGTTGTTAGCTAACTAATTTTGACTTCGTATATTTTCTCTTTCTCGTTTATAAACTATTCTGTTAATGATTTTGACCTCTTTTTTATTGGCTTATAGACTTAAGTTCAAGTCGTTTCATCTTAAAACAATTAGAGTCAAAGTTTTTCATGGCAACAATTTTTTCCGGCTTTTTTTTTACTTTTTATTCGGCTTGATAGGTTTTGGCCTGTTTTATTTCAGTTTATTGGCCTCGTATTGCGTCTTTGACGTGAAAAAATGCTTTGTGTGTGCGTATCTGTGTTTTGAGGGTGATCTAATAATTTCTTAAAAGTCTTCAACTTTTTTTTTGGCATTTTCGGGTTTTTTTAGTTCCCTTTTTCGGGCTCAATAGATTTCGGGCTATTTATGTCGGCATATTGGCCTCACCTTGTTTCATTTGACGAGCAAAGAAAGTTTTTTGAGTGCTTGTGTGTTTTAAGAGTAAATAAGCACAATAAGCTAGGAAGCAGGAAAAGTCTCAAAAACACAAATAGCTGCAAAGAAAGAAGGAAAATCAAAGTCAACAAGAGGACGCTGTACCTGAGAAGGAACTGAAAGAACTAGCAATTGACTCAAAAATTCATGCATGAAAAGCTCTGGATAGATTTCTGCAAAATTTTAGTAAAAAATTCGAAAAAAATCTCAGCGCTTGAGTATGAGAAACTCAAAACAGAGCTGAGGACATCTGAATTGCTTTAAAAAACAAAACTGTCTAGCAGCATGTGTATCAAAAGGAGCTTGATAATTAGCTTTGCTTTCAGAACCGATTGTAGAAGTAAACTTGGAAACTTTTTGAGCCACCACATCAGTGGTTCTCTTAAGCATGAATAGCCGAGTCAGGCCTGTAAAAACTTGGTTTTGGAGAGTTGAAAAAATCTTATGTTGAAGTGTTTTCCATAAAACGTAAGACTTGCAAAGGTTAAGACGCGTGTTCAATTTTTTCTTGGCATGCAAATCGAAATTGAGCAAGCATATTTTACCAAAAACAAATTCAAAAGAAAACAAAGGGACCAGAAAATGAACGTATAGTGTCATTTTAAATTGCACAGGCCGCAGTGGACGTGAAGAAGGAAAAGTCATAGAAGGAAGCACTACCAGAGGAGCCACGGGAAGAGCCGGTAATTTACCACAGGCAATGGGCTTGTTCAACGTTATTCAAGTTTGTGAAATAGCAATGTACGAATGCAGTCACCTTTACCTTCCCAATCCAGTCAAGTTTTTTTGATTTTGTTCTCGACTCATTTAGTGCCTCCGACTCGTCTCCCTCGAATGTCTGACAAACACTTTGTTTCTTGTTATTGACGTCTGATCGATTTGATTCCAATCTTCTCGTTCACTCTCAGTGAGTTGAGCATTCTCTCTCACTTGGTTGTTGCTCGTTCTCCTTCAAGTTCTCCCTCAAACAATTCACCCAATTTCTTCATTGTTGCTATTGCGAGTTCGATTGTTTCACCCAATTTTGATATAAAGACGTTTGAGCTCCTGTTGCACAAGATTTGACTAAAGCAACTTATCAAGAGGACCTGGCTCATCCCGCGCCAAAATCCCAAGTTGACTGTTTTTGTTTCACTAGTGGCTTAAAGGGTCTTGTTATCCAGTCACCTCGCCAGAGGAATTGAGTTTATAATTTTTCCCTCGTTGAACAAGAGTCCCTCCTTGATCTCTACCTCGCTGGTTCAACTTCGCTCCAACCTCTGATAGACTTAAGCTTTCTTGCTCAAAATGTCAGCGTTATGATGTCAGCTTCACATCTGGTGCTCAATTTTATCATGTGGTATCAACACAATTTTTACCCATTCACCAATTTAATTCCGATTTTTAGAATACAGTTTCAATTAGAACTAAATTTGGTTATCTGCTCGCAGTTAAACTGAGCGACCTCTTAAAAATACATGTCTTTTTCCGTCAGCGTGCCCAGGAATGCTGTTTCGCTCAGCTATTTTTTCTAGTGTTTTCGATTGAGTCCCGAGAATTCTCATCCCGTTTTCTTTTTTTTGCCCATCAACAGTTGTAAGGATAAACCTTGTAGGGGTAGCCAATCACAAAATCTCCATAACCAATTGCGAACCTCAGAAACTTCATTGTCTGTGTGTTACTACTACGAGAACTCCACTTGAGTACACCATGTCTAGCCACCATCGTGCCGAGGTAATTTATCAAACCCCAACTATTTTCACACTTAAATAGTTTGCGTTTCAAACTGTTTCTCTTCATGCAATCGAACACCTTGTCAAGTCCGTTGATGTGATCTTTCAATTTTGGAATGGTTATTATCACGAATGGTTATTCTCACTGCAGGGTTATTATCATATTTCTATGGACATTGCTGGAAGAGCCAATTTTTCAGACAAACAAGCCCAATGCTTAGAAATTTTTGTTGCTAAAGCAGCTGAATGAGCCCAATTTTCAGTCACCGTGTTTCAAGCTGATATAGGGACCAGTTTGAGTTTATGTAAAGTTTATGTAAGTTTTGGTCTTCTGTCTGGGGACCTGCTGCTGTGATCTTGCGATCGCTATCGTCCGGCATAAGCCAAAACAACCAAGTGCATAAGATTAGGTTTTCAAACCTTATAGTTGCCTTATCAATTTAAACTTTCATTACCGAACGTTTTGGATCTTCAAGATGGCGCAGCCAGCTGAAAGAAAAGAAAAAGGGGAAAACCCTCTGAACATAGTATCGTTCTGGGACGCGCGCACGCCGGAGCCGCCAACATACTGGGAGGAGTGAATCCTAAAATTCCACTGGGAAATGATTGCAAAATATGATATCGACCCTGAAGATTTTTATTTCGCTAATACTCTAGATGAGGCGGCGATAGCAGCGTTACCGGGGAAGTCAATGGAAAACATCGAATAGATGAGGAGAAAAATTTAAAACTGAATCTGTATCTCTGCATCGTGGATGAAGTACAAAGGGTATTTAAAGCCCGAAAACCGGCGGTTAGTATCAAAACGGAGAGGTTCCCACGAGTGCTAGACGAAATGCAAAATGTATTCAAACGAGAGCGAAACGTAACACACGAGCGAGGACTATTTTACGGGAGAAAGCAAAGGGAGAACGAAACTTTTGAGAAACTTTATGTGGAATTAAGCGCTCTAGCCGGAAGGTGTGATTTTGCCAACGCGGCCGAAAATATTCGGGATATTTTTATTATGAATTTGCGCGAATCCGACTGTCCAAGAGAATTCTCCCGGTCTACCAAGATACCAGCGGAGGTATACAGGATAGCATTATCGTATGAGAGAGGTGAACGCGCGTACAACTCCTATACTGGAAAACCGGCCTCGTCCGCGCCGCAGATAACCATAAAACAGGAGCCAGTTAGTAATATCCGAAGAGGACTAGGGCATTATAGAAATCGAGCGGAGGATATACCCCTGGGCCAAGCAGTGGGGGAAGTAATAACCGTCGGTGTTACAATTA